TCAATTTCTAATTACTTCTAGTGTTCAACTTTAATAAAGATACTATCAAAAGTTTATGAAGTATATGTCATAATTTTATGTACCTACATATATGTATAAGTAATTTCGTTCTGTTATTCAGATGTACACGAATAGTTGTGTTATATAAGCAGTAAAACGACAAATTTATGCGGCATTCATTCCGTACTTTCTTTAGAAGTTCGGTCCCCGGCATATCTTTGTGTAATCAACGAATTTCAAAGCCCCAACTGGGGGCACCTGCTACCTGCCAAGCTTCACCGTTAGGGGAATCGGTCTTAATGACTAAACGTTTTTATAGCACCCGAAAATATTTTATTGTTTCTCGTGTCCTAATTTGTCCATTTTATGAAATATATTATTTTCAACTTATATAGTTCTGGAAGGTATGGTTTTAATGAAAATTGTTTACGTATTTTCCATACTTGATTTTCGTGTGTATTTATCTATGATTTAGACAATGTACATTGTTTTCGTCTGGCATTGTCTGATAAGTCTGAGTGTGGGGCCGTTTTCCTTCTGATTATATTTTAAAAAGTTAAAAAATATATTCAATGACTCAAAATATAAGATGTAGACAAAAAACTTACGTAATTTATCAATCGATTTAAAAAGGGATTAAAACCCGTCAGTTTAATAGATTTGAACTCTTTGACCTACTCAAGTCAAACGTCCATCTCTGTATCAAATTTATTACTCCGATGGAGCAAGTTATATGATGTGGTCATAGTGGTAAGGCGAGCACTCTATTATTAAACCAGAATTGGTATATAGATATTCCTAGCCTTTGACCTACGCTATCTCTCATCTACGATCTATTTGATTACGTAAAATTAAATCTAAAGAAATTCTTTAAGAAAAGTCTTTGCAAAGAAAGCTTTGATTTGTATATCAAAACAAAAAGTACAGATATAAAACTGAATAGTTTAAAGACCATGCTGTTTATTTTTTATACACGTTCGCAATAAAAAGTACCATTGCAATAGCTTACGGAAATCGTGCATGCATACAATTCGCATCCGGATGATGTAGGAATACGAAATGAATGAACTCGTTGAATTAATAAAAACAAACTGAAGGGTCCATATCGTTCACAATCCAACAGTGAATACAAAATTCAATATGCTTTATTTTTATGGGAAAATGGCAAACGAGCAGACGGCCTATTTGATGGGTAGTAGTGACCGTCGTACATGGAAATCCACAACATAGATGATGCGAATGCATTACCAACCTTTGTTGTTGAGGAAAAGCAAGGGGTAGGAATAAGGAAATGGGAGGAAAGGATGGGAACAGGGAAAGGGCAACCGGCTCTCTCACTCATCGGACGAAACGCAGCCATTAAAAACTACTTCACGCCGATTTTTTGTGGTGAGGTACTTCCCTGGTCGAGCCAACCCATATTCGAGCTGTAGTAACTGATCATAGCTAAGCTCTACCACCTTAAAGCATATATATTTATAATTTCAATTTTTAAAATCATTGAGGTTCGTAAATCTGTAGAGGCTTACGATCTCCTCACAGCCGGGATAAACGTAAGCCCATCGCTCGAAACTTACTTGGAATTTGTGACTTTAAGAGGATTTTAGTTTGAAACATTGAAATTTAAAGATCGTATTCAGATGAAAGTTTAAATATCAGTTTTGATGGTAATTAAAATTGTTTATTGGTTAATTCTCGTACTAATAAAATTTACCGATTAGGGCTTTTTACGTTTTCGAGATAAGGGTTATATACTCATTTTTAAATATATGTACTTCTCTTGTTTGAAGAGTATTCCTCAATGCATTAAACATTCAGAATATTATGATTAATTTAATTCCTAGTGGTTCATTATTAGCTATCTCTTGTTTACAGTTACACACATAATTTTGTTCATGGAAACGGAAATTCTAGAAGAGAAATATACATATATTATTAAAAACAAAAAACTGTCATTATATTAAAACGATGTGTGACCTCAGTTTGACTATTATGTTTTTCACTGTAAGCCAAATATTGTGACAAAAATATTTTATTTCTAAGCCCTTTATTCGAAAACATTTATATTATAAGTATTGAAGTAATTATACTTTTTGTGTCCCATAATCATCGTCATTGTTTTCGTATACATTTTCAATTGATTCACAAGTAGATGCTTTAATAAAAAAGTTCTCTAAGCTTTAATTTCAAATCAAGTACCTACTAAATTATAACTGCTTTAAAATTTCAAGTGCAAGTATTTGTATCTTGTTTTAAAAAAGCCGGAAATCTCTTACATTTACATACACCCTTGAGATCGGAAAAAGCTTACTTTTCCCTTCATGTTTCAGTAGCTAAGGAGTAAGGTTGCATTGCCTGAGACAGGATATAAAAACAACTTTGTTATATATTTAATGTCATTAAGAAAAGTACATTTATATGTTATATATATTAATAAATAATTCTATCCGTCTATGTACATCAGTGTCAACTTGTACCATAAATACTAACTGAATAGAAATGCCATTTTCCCATTTAAGTACTGTAACGAAATGTCACTAATGCTTGACAATTAGTTTCTTGAGTGTATGATATCTAGATTCTTGGTAACGATAGTCCCTTTATTTGGATTGCGTTTATTAGAAAATAACTGTACTTTTTAGAACACGTATCAAGCTTAGTAATTTAAAACCATTCGTCCATATTGCAAGCACTAGTCTACAATCCTTCGGATGTCGAACAAAAGAGGTTTTAAATATTAAAAACTTAGATAGTTTTTTAAAAAATAGATTGAAACGAAAATTTGAATGATATTTTATTTAGAAAAAAAAATGTTTGACAAATACCAAACTCATCGTATATATGTTGTTTTATTAAATTAAGGAAAATCTCTGTCATAACAAGTTTCATTTACTTGCATAATTAATAGCAACATAACTAATATTGTGACCACAAAAATATACATACATGTATATACATTAAAAATATCATTTCAATTATAAAGACTCAATAAAAATTGTTTTTACATAAAATTAATTATATAATCACGTTTTAAAACATGTCATTTTATATTTATAATTATATACCTCCTCAATAAAAGATACCAGTAAGTACTGAAGGCTGCGGACATAACCATCTCATCCATGGAATGACTTTCTGTAGTAATCTTCACGCAGAAAATCATCGTTAAATAACCATGACTGGCACGTTAAATGTCTTAACTGAGAGAGTTATCATTACTAAACTGCTCAAGTTAACTACTAGACACCGTATAATACCACCATGCATCAAGTAAACTGGAATAGATTAGGAGAATTTGTCATATGATGCCCCAATATAGATATAGAATGCTTAATTCACCGATTTAAGTCAAATCGCAGATCATATATTGATAAATCAAAGGGGACGTGGTATTCGAATTCTACTCGTGTCGACGAATTTTACATTCTATATTTTGTACTTGATTTTGAATTCAAGTTTTTCATAAATTACTTCTATCGAGAACTCTGCTTTCTTCAAAGAGATTCCTTTGATGTATTTTTTGGCTAAAGTGGAAACGATAATATTGTGCCGGCAATAAAATGTTTTTTCCAATGCCTGATTCTTCATTCACTGATCAATCCAGCAAGGATTGTCGTACTGGCTATTAAATATAATAAAGAACATTTGACTCTCTCTATACATTTCTTTAAAAAGAATACAGGGCTTATTACAGTTCTCATGAACAATTTTAAAGAAAAACTCAACATTTTCTACTCGAAATCCCTTTGGTTTTGTTCTTCCCCAAATGGCAGAGAAAATCTTTCCTATGACTTCCGTATCATCCTGATTGACGTTGAACAATCTTAGAAGCGGAAAAATTCCCTAAAGAAATAAAGGTCAGCCATCGTTTACACTGAGGTGGAAAAAATTTTGCGACGAGTATTCCACGTCGGGTTTCGTAATTGCTTCTTGTTCTCTCTTTACATCAAGAACTCCATCATTCAGATCCAACATTAAGATTATAACGCCTGATCACCAGACGGTAATTTACAGATGCATATACCATACATCAACGCAGATATTTTCATAGATTAGATTGTTTTAAAGTTAAATTTCTTGGTAAATAATAATAATTTAATAAAATTATGGTATTTCTAACAATTTCTTTAAGGACTCTCATTGAATCTTTACAAAGTGTTCCTCGCTGTGGTCCAAATAATGAAAATTTCAGACGAAATACAATCTTATGACAAAAGTCTGAATCTCTTAAGATTGTTATTGAAAGCCCTTATCACGAAAAGTACACGACCCATGAACGACATTTTCATTACCGAATTCAGGGTTCTGTTATATAATATATAAATATTATTTAGATTATGTTTATTGAAATAAATACAGTAGCGTAAGTGTAAGAATGATAAATATTTGTTTAAGTAAAAACATTTCAAACAATAGAAGCTTAATTTTCTTTATCCATATTACACTGGTAGTTCAAATTTAATATTTGTGAATTCCGATTGGAAATTCAGTTTCGTAATAATATTGACAACAGCTGGATTCAAATCTTGTTTCACTTTCAATATAAATTATTTTGCCACACCAAGACAGCGGAATAATACAAAAGTAAATCACGATTCCGATGTCTTATTTCGAATCGACAGTGAATTTATTTAGTTACTTATCTCGTTGGCTACGTCATCACAAACAAATCTCAGTGTCGGTGACAAGCGTACATACAAATAGTTATATCAAGCATACCAGCGTTATCGTTGTAAAAGATTGTACAAATGAGATCAGTTTATCAGACGGTCGCGTATATGACAGACAAAAGACCGGGTTCTGAGGAAGTCCGAGGTCGCTGGGAGCCCTACCAGAGGTTTGATTGTTGTTGCCAGCATTCAACGCGCCGACGCCACCTCGAGTGAACGTCGGAAAGGAAACGGCTCACGTAACTATCGTTCGACTGAATAGCGTGCGCGTAGTCGATCGTGACGTGCAATGCCCAGGGCCCCGCCTGCCCCTCTACCCCTCGCAGGGCTATGGAGACCCTCCTCGATAAATTCAAGAGGGACCAAGGAGGATTACGGAGGTCCAGATCCGTCCGCGCTTCCCTACGACTGATAGGTAACCGGTGGCGATCTACCAAGGACGAAGAAACGTCTGAGAACATTGACACCATCGGGGACGGGAACGTAGTACTGACGCAGATCTTTAACGGTGATAAAGATTACAACGTAGCGTACACGGGCATTGACGGTACTTACAAAGCGAAGACACCGAGCATGGCCAAGAGGAAGCAGGAGCCGGGGAAGGCGAGGAAGAAGAGTGGGGACATCGACCTCACACTGAAGCCACAACGACATAGGAAAGTGGATAAGGCGAAAATAAGTGATTTGTTCAACAAGAAACAGAAGAGTGTGTCTGCAAAAGAGTTGCTCGTACCAGATAAGATACCACCGAAAGCGGCTGCCATATTACACATAAATTCACCTGAAACCAAAGCTAAGATTAAATTAAAATCGGTCGGCAAATCGGAGAGTGCTAAATCGGTGACCGATATCAAACATCGTCGCACGCGCAGAGGCTCGGAGAGCGATATGTGTGGGAGCCAGCCACGTGGGTTTGTCAACCAAGCCTTTGTATACAGCACACCGCCAAAGGAACGCAAGCTAAACCTATCACCATCAAGCTATTTGAGTACGTATATTATTTAAAACAGCTTTTATTAGTCCCAATAATGCATTACAAGATAGTACATAATGCACCAAATATTTACTATACCTTTATCATTAATTAAATAAACTAATGCATATGATATTCGAATTAATTGAATTCCGTTTTTATAAACTCGACATAGATATGAAATGGTCCGTTTTATGCAATTAGCGATGACTACGGTTATTAATTACAGCGAACTGAAAATTATGTTATTATTTGAAAATAAAGTCAAATGAAAATTAATATACAATTACATAATATTTATTGAATTATACAAATGATTATGTATTTATTAATACAATCAAGATTAAAAGAATGACAAAGTGCTATATGCAATAATAAAGATCATAATGATTAAAATATTCAAATTAGACTATACTAGTTCTTTGCAAAAATAACGATATATATATATGTATATATCTTCCACTCCTTTCGAGTTCCCTAATGTATATTGATAAAGATTAATTTGGACATTTATTTAGACATTTTTATTTAATTCATGATATATACCAAAGCTTTTGTGGAAGTATCTTGTATTAAAAATTAAACTGATATCACAATTACAAAATTTTTTTGTTACAACGTGCTATAGATGTAAATTGCTTCCAAGTCTTTCAACTGTTTTCAATAATGTGATCTAAGTCTTTCGCGAGCATTGATTTGAATGAAACTAATATTTTTTCGGATTATACTACGCGTATTTTATTATTGTAAAAAGTACATACTACCTAGGTACATAAGTTTCGGTTACTTTTAAACAACCGTGACCACGGTTTTCAATAAACTATGTGTATAATATAATCCTATACAAACACAGTGATTTTTAAGAAAAGTTTTTATTTTTTTATCACTTACTATCAACTTCTTTCAATGCTCTTGTTTTTTCTTAATCTTATCACTTAACACCAGCGTGATTACTTCAAAAATCCATTAGAATTACTCTATACTAGAAGTCGTTAAACACTAATTAAAAATTTTATTTAATCGCAATTTATACACTTATAATATAACGTCAATTTATTTTATCAAAACCTTTTATTGTGGTTTTAATTTTAATTATAAGTTAGTCTAATTTATAATTTCTTATAAAGGACTAGGAAAAATCATTCAAAAATAGTACGATTTTTTCTTTATTACACAAAAAAATCAAGTACCTATCTTCTCACAAAAGATCACAGCTCAATATCAAATCTGAGAGCCGTCTGTTCAAAGATAAGATTCCATGATCTAAGAACGAGAAAAGTTATAATACATTGTATGGAAAATAAAACAATACTAACACTATACTGTAATTACGTTAATAATAAGATAATATGTTACGTATATATAAGAACATTCCTTTGCATTTTTGATTGAAGAAAAGTTACAGAATACCTATAGTTATGAAAGATGCAAAATTGCGTTTTTATAATCATAATTGTTGTAATTACGGTAGTAAATTTTCGTATACTTGTATACTGTGGAACAATGTATTCTATGTATTACGTATACATGTTATGTGATACAAATCATGAATTTCTTTGAATGAAATTATTAGGAAGTTTTTTATATCAGGAATATAAAAATATTTATATATCTAAAGTAGTTTCCATGTATGTTGTATACATATAGCTAAAATGAAATTAAAAGTAAAGTAGTCGCGGCTTGCGTTGAGAAGAAAAGCATTTCACTGCGTCGTGGGAACAATACATAAAACAAATGTTTTCTGTATTCACACAGACATAAGAAGAGCCAATTGAAGATGATCTTTTGATGTGTTTTTATAAGGAACACTTATAAGATCTATTCCGGAGTATATTTTATAACGCAAAGATATTTCTTACAATAACTAGCTTTCCGCCCGCAGCTTCGCCCGCGTGGAGTTCGGTTATATCGCGTTTCCAAGAGAACTTTTCAAAAGTCTGGGATAAATACTATCCTATGTTCTTTCTCAAGGTCAACTCTATCTCTGTACCAAATTTCATTAAAATCAGTTCAGTGGTTTAGGCGTGAAAGCGTAACAGATAGACAGACAGAGTTATTTTCGCCTTTATAATATTAGTAGGGATTCTACTCTGCTGACGTTCAAAGAAGCAACCGTAAAAAAATCTCTCGGAATTCGGTAAAAAATTCAAATAATTTGACGTCTGTTACAGTTAAGAAATAATTAACAGTGACCAAAAAAAATATCGTGATAACATAAACAAAACTCAAAGGAAATTTACAGTTCATATAAATAAAAAGAATTCCATAAAAGTGACTTTGTCTCGTGAATCTAAACACATACGTAGTAAATAATAAATTACATAATACTATCTACTTAAATGTATGAATGAAAACGCTGCATTTACTTTGATAAAACTAGTGTTAGGTTACTTTAACCTTAGCTATACCTAGTTTTAGTTATGAACACTGAACTAATAAATATGTAGATGGATGGCGCGAAATTACCATCACCATACAAGCCAGTTAACCAGCCAGCTAGCTCCCAAAAAGCGAATTTCACACTATACTGTTTAATTTAGGCTTCGGCCAGATTAACTGACGTTATCAAAGCAAATAATTTGTTAACATTGCTTGGATATGTCTTTATTACTTTTGCTACTATGTAACATGTACCATGTAAAATCTATGTATCTTCATATGTAAATGAAACTAATATTTTCAGATTTACTACGCGTTTTTTTTATGTGAAAGCTGACAAACCAGCAGACGGCCCACTTGATGGAAGGTGGTTACCGTCGCCCATGGACATCCGCAACATCTTTGTTGCGGATGCGTTGCCAACCTTGTTTTTTAGGGATAGGGAGGGGTGGGAATAAGGAAATGGTAAAAAAGGGTGGGAATAGGGAACGGGCAATCGGCTCTCTCACTCATCGGACGAAACGCAGCCAATAAAGGCTACTTCACGCCGATCTTCTGTGAGAGGGTGGTACTTCCCCGGTCGCGCCAGCCCATGTTCGAGCTGTAGTAAGTGACTACAGCTAGGCTCTACCACCTAAAATTTTTGATTATAAACTACATACTCCCGACGTTTCGGTTACTTTACAGCAACCGTGATCATTAATACGAGATGTGGAATAAAAAATCGCGTAGTAAATTAGAAAATATTAGTTTCATTTAAAAGAATACTCGCGAAAATCTTAGATCTCATTACCTTCATATTATCTTTGCTTGAAGCTATTTCATACAGTAATCGTTTTGGAGTTATTTAACTGGTTGAATTAAAAAAATACTGGTTTAAATTTACATGTTCATGCTTGATACATATAATTTTAGATACGATTACATTAATTGTGACTTTTAATGCTATAATTAGAATCGTTAATTGATGTTTTAACAAATAAAATTAACTTAATTGTTACTTTATATGACAAAACTTAAAACTCATAGTTTAAAAGGCTAAAATTAAACTGTCACGTACTTAAAGTTCAGTTAAACTGTGTATAATACATGGGGAAAATATTTGTTATAGATTTTTGTACGACTTAAATTTTTTTGTGTAAGAGATATGAGCAACGTATCCTTTAGAAATATGTACATATAAAATATTAGTCGAATTTTTAAATTTATTCTCATTTTCCTTACATATTAATCTTTCGTTTATAAGTAATATAGGTTTCTATGTTTTAATTTTAAATCTATATCTAAAAGAATTTTGTGTTAGTTACACTATTTATAACTCAAGAACCGCTGTATGGATATGCTTGAAATTTTGCGGGTTATATGCTTGAAATTTAGCTTAGTACCAGGAGACGGACATAAGATATTTCTGTTCGATAGAAAAAGAAACAAATACTTAATAAATTCCAATATCGGGTTATTTATGGCCTCTAGGACATAATTGTTTTCCCCCGGTCAGAGCTATACATACGTATATGTATATTACTAATGCCGAAATTAACGCAGACAAAGTTGCGGGCAAAAACTAGTAATATACAGGGTGACTGGTGAATTACCTACTATCGATATTTGAGGACGTGATATTTGACGATCATATATGACAAAATAAAAATTAATATAACATAAATATTAATAAACTTCTAAGTAAAGTTAACAAAAAGTTATGTAATTAATTACGCATCGTATGAACACCCTACAGATTAGGTATACACACACACACACACACACTCGCGCGCGGCGGCGTCTTGTTGTATCAGCACGCCGCCGCACGCGTTCACACTTGGAACACTTGGAACGTGTCAACACTTTATTTATTTATACGGAAATTTGGTCAAAAATTAAGTACCTATTTTTTTTACATAGATCGAATGAGAATCATGTACCGAGTATGCTCCTTAAATATTGATAGTAATTCACCAGTCACCCTGTATATTTTTAATCAACATTTATACGAATTCATAATACCTCAAGTCAACATTAGTCAGTACATTTGATCAAACATTAGTCTAGTTAAACAAAATCTGGCAATACTGATAGTAATAATCCTATAATCAAGTGGGACTCTAAAATTCAGAATACTCTGGTATTTTTCCTATTACGTAAACTACTTCAACTTTGTTATACAATTTAACTTAGGTCAAGAAATTTTTAATTTGAATCTGGAAACATGTGTTAGCCAATTAGACAAGCATTCGCGTAGAGTTGAAATCAGATGTTTGAAGTAAATTTTATAGTTAATAGAATTACAAGTATCATGCAATTTTCTACAAAGCGTATATTATGTAAGCAAAAGTGTGGGAGTGAAAGATATTGTGTTCGGTAAGGATGGACGATTATAATGAAATGGGAAACATCGACCTTTCTCTTGACGAAGGGTTCTATTAGTAACTTGATACGAGAACAATAGGTTCTTAGGAGGTTTTATTAGAAAATTAAAAGGTCTTATCAAATAATAGATAATATATCGCAATTTTTTAGTGTCTTATAATCTGTATATTTTTGATGTATTGTGTAAAAAAATTGTGATCATTAGATAAAATCGTTGCGGTTCCGTAACTTATGTACGTCCAATTACATGTAATGATTCGTCGGAAATTATTTTTCGTGATATAATCAGATATAATTTATTATTCACTTCTATTCATCCCCTCCACAACTAATAAATTTCGAAATACCTACACATTCAGTTTTTATTTATGTGTCTGTGCTTTTTTTTTGGATGAAAGAATTCTATTGAAATAAATTTCAAATAGATTTAGAATCACAGAAACATTCGCACGCTCGCACATATCTTGACATAGTTAGATGGTACCTAACCAAAGCGTGGAACTGCCTCAGTCACACAATGTTACTCGAATGGAGTGACATCTTCACATGCGGTCAGTTCGATTCCGTATTAAAATACATATATATGTGTTAAAAGTTTTGTACATAACTGTGCCTGTAGTTCCGATAATCGAAGCTTGTTCTCAGGCCACGTTCCGCGTGCTGGCCTCGCGTTGTTTCCGTTGTATCGAGCTGAACGATACATCACTATTACTTTCGATGTGTTTTTTTTCTTGGTCATAATGTAACTCGCCCACGCGACGTGTCTGTGAACAATGTTCTAAGCTGATAATTTTCGTAATTCTAAAGGAAAAGTATGACATTTTAGATTGCTTTGATAACAATGATGGGAACATTTCGTTTCATGGCGTTCGTTGCAAGGCAGTCCATTGTCTGTTTTTGTTGTTATTTATTAAATATACAGACGCTATTTGAATTTTAAATTATTACGAAGATAATTTCATAATTTCCTGCTTGCTTATGAAAGTTTTTGTTTATTTAATATTAATTTAATTCAATAAAAACAGCGAAGTCTATCCCATTATTGTTCTCAGATGAAAAGATAGCCGTATTAAATTGAAAATATTGTGAAACAATACTTCATTTATATTAAAAACTGGAGACAATATAACAGCTGACTTAAACGAGATTTTCTGACGTCATACTTGAAGCTTGCTTAATTAGTTGTTCTTATGAAACTAAAAGTGAGGTCCCCTTATAACAATTGCAAACTTCTAGAGTCATTATGAACAAAAACTTGGTTCGTCTGAACTTGTATAATACTTTTACTGTTAAATTTTAATTGCCCCTACAACAATTTCGACTGATTTCTTTGCTGTTATTTTAATATACTAAAATATATTAACAAAACGTAAATTTATGTGAGACAATCGTATCTACTTTCGGTGTTGGCTAAGGAATTTGAGATCGTTAAGGCTAAAACTATCTAGCTATATGACCTTTTAACTTTTGACAATACATCTATCATTAAATCACGTTCCAGATTGCTATTTACAAGGCCCCATACGAATCTACGGACAAATGATATATTAATTCCGTAGGGTTAACCGTTCACCTTTCTAACAAAATGTGTGCGCATCGAATAAGGTAATAGCAATCAAGGCCGATACATTCAATTTTAAATGCATGAATGTATGAAAATTCATACACCACATTGTTCAAAATGAAACTTTATTATAGTCATGTAAAGTTCATATTTCATTGTATGCTTAACTTAAGAGTCGTTACAAGCAATCTATCATAATTTCGATACGATCATGGCATGTCATTTATTTTGATACCATTAAAACTTTAATGATATATAATATATGCTTCCTTTAATAAATTAAATTCATAGATTGGCTGACCTTGAACTTCTGTGGTGTCCAATCTTGGAATGGATTAAGATAAATTATTATACACTAGCTCTGCCCGGAGCTTCGCCCGCGTGGTGTTCGGTTATATCGCGTTTTCAAGAGAACCTTTCAAAGGTCTGGGATAAAAACTATCCTATGTTCTTTCTCAAGGTCAACTCTATCTCTGTACCAAATATTATTAAAATCAGTTCAGTGGTTTAGACGTGCAAGCGTAACAAACAGACAGACAGAGTTAATTTCGCATTAATAATATTAGTAGGGATATATACGTGAATCAATTGAAATTATATTTTTTTATTGTTCTAAATTAATTACCCCTCAGATAGTCTTGACATTGTGACGTAATAAACTTGCTCTCAAAAAATTATATTAAAAACTAGCAATCCATCAAATATATAACTGGACCTAATGTGAACGAATTAATTCTTTACGCTTACTCATATCGTTACTGTGTTATAAATATCAACGGTAATTTCCTATTTCTCTACATCGTCTAGGCTAAGGACAATTAAAGCTTGGCTGTTGTCATCAGCCATAGTAAATGACGAAATATAGGAATCAATATATAAAATCTTAGCCACTAAAAAGTTTTGTTAAATTATTTGTTTTCAATCATTATGATTTAATTCGTCATAATAACATTGAGTTACTAATTTTCCTTATTGTCAAATGGGTCACAATCTTTTACAGTAATTACACTTCTTACTTGAAAGTTTAATATAATATACATTTACCTCATTTAATAATTATTATTATTTTGGTATACGTACGTGATCTGCGTCTAATTTGATTAAAACATTAAATTTTACAATGTAGGTGTTTTTAGAAATGTTTAGTTCTTTTTTCGAAACATTCTTAAACCCATACATTTTGTTTTGCATTAAAACCTCCATACTCTTATTATTTTTTTGCATTAAAACCTCCTTTTACTATTTTTTTGTTGTATTACACTCTCCGCTTTAAGTTTTTTGTTCGCTAACCATCCTTCCACCCTATAGAGCTCCAATACGGCGCGCTGCTCGAGGGGTGCGGGGGGGAGCTGCCGTCGCTGAGCGCCTGCGCCCCGCTCCCCTCGCACCCGGACAAGCGCAAGCAGAGGGATGCGCGTGCGCACAACGATAGAATAACACAAGTTAACATACACCTTCAGGGTATTTTTTTGTTTTTTTTTTTTATTTTGCTTTCTTTTTTTTGTTTTTATTTCCTGCCTGTCATTTTAACAATAATAATACTTCAATAATAATTTCATAGAGTGATCGTCAGGGTTTTGAGGTGGTGGTTGATCTTATGTAATTAGCTCCGTTGTATTATATTTCTGTTGTATTTTTTTCAGCTCTCTTCGCTGCCGTTGAACATGGCTACCTCGATAAGGCTAGAAACATACTGGAGTCTACTGATGTCGATGTTAACAGGTAAATCCTTCATTATAATTATATACAAGTATAAAAATTATGGTAATTATTGTGATTTATTGACATATTCCAAATTTCCTAGAATGATTCCGAAACTAGTAGTAAAATCAAATCCACTGAATAAAGTAGACTCGAAATGCAGAAAGTTCTTTAGAAATCATTTTTTTTATCTTATTAATTTAGATTTGCCAAAATAGTACATAAAATGTTTTGTTTGTCCCTTTGTTTTCACTAACCTCTAAAACGACTGAACAGATTTTGACAGGACTTTCATTCACTTAAGTAATAATTTACAAATTAATATATTTTATGTAGAATTTGTGCTCACAACGAGGGTAAATGAATCATTAATGTAACTTAGACTAGTAATGTGTAGAGTTTGTTAAAATCCATAACGATCCTAAACTACTTAGGAGGAAATAAGTAAAAAAGATAGTTATATTTGCAGAAGTTTTAAAACAAAGAAGCCTGTATATGTGTGTGTATTTGTGTGTACGTTTATAACACTACAAAACAATCCGTCGAGTACTTTACAAACACATTTTTTATCGATATGTCTGAAACATGAAATAAAATGTCAGTCGTGACATATCTTTTGTATGATCTTGTTTTTCATTGATTTTTATTCATTCTTTGTATCATTGCAGCCTCAACCCAGACGGCCTGTCACCGCTTGACGTCGCAGTGTTGGCCAATAACCGTCATCTGGTTAGAATGCTCATGGAATTCGGAGCCAAGGAAGGAAGTCAATGTGAGTTGATAATAATACACACATCATCAGCCTATCACAGCCCACTGCTGAGAGGCCTCTTCTCACATGGAGAAGGTTTGAGCATTAACCACCACGCTTGCTCAAGACGGGTTGGCGATTTCTAACTTATAATTTGACATTATAAGTCCAGGTTTCCTCACGATGTTTTCTTTCACCGTCTGTCAGTGGTGTCTAAATACACCTAAAAAGTACATATGATTCGGAAAAAATCACATTGGCACTTGCCAGGTTTCGTACCCGCACCCTCATGCATGAGAGGCGGGCCTTTATGACCACAATGACGTCTCAATAGACTACCTTTTATGATAGAGTTTGACATACATCATAACAGATGGCGCTAGTAGTGACATAGATAGAAGTTATTTATTAATGTTTTGTTATAATATCAAAAATTTTAACAACATGATAACATACATTCTATTTCTCAAAAAAATCCGTTCAATGTGACATACATAATAATAGACACCAATCGTCGTCAAAAAAATTAAGAATTTAACTATATAAGTCCTAAGATTAACATAAAAAATGTACTTTTGCTACCGCCAAACTAATATTTCGTGCGAAAAATGATAATTAAAGAAAAATAAATATTGATATATGCAAACAAATTATATTAACAATATTACTTCGGAAGTTTAATTTCTATCAAATTAGCCGATACATGTATATACTATAGAACATTCTTGGCTCACAATCAATCATTCAAAGTGATAAATGACAGCGGCACTCAATAGAATAGTTCCTATGATATTATCAACAACTGATTTACAACTAAAGTATATTACAATCACTTTCCAAATTTGAGTCATAAGTACTAAAATCATATCATTGAGCGCAAAATATAAAGACCGAGATTGGAATGTCAAATGTCTATATAATGTCTTATAAAAAATATATGGAAATCGTGTTTCCTCCACTCAAGATTATAATTCGTCCACGAAATAAAGACGTTGAATTTGGCAAAATATTCCATGATTCCAGTGCGAATGAAGCCTTAGCATAAAAAGTGCCATACTAAATGACCTTACAAAGTATTATATTTAATTTCAAGACATTTATTAAATAAACTCTATTTAAGTTAAATATTCTTTTCAACGAGAAACTTCCATCAAAAGTTATCTTTTATCAAAACATCTCAAGATTATAAAGAAAACTATATTTCCCCTCCTTTTCTTACTATAATTATATATTTAATAGATTACTATTAATAACATTTTCATAAACCAATTCACTTTAGCTATTTATTAGGGAATTTCAATTCAAATAATAAATTTTGATTGAAAACTTCTAAACACTATGAATCGAATCTGCAACCTCCGGAATATTTCATACTAATATATTTTACAATTAAACTCTCCCTTCGAGGGTGTATATAAATACTTCTATATATATTTTGAACCATCACATCAACAGTACATTATATACATTAGTTTCATCCTTACAAGACATACATTAATATACATATAACTATCACTAAGGAAGCTTTCTGCTGTAAGGCCTTTCATAATATTCCAATTATATTATACACATACACATAGACAGACAGACACACATATATATAAAATTGTAATATGATATCTTATATTCCAGTCAAAAGCCCAGAAGCCCTCGGCAGCCATCTCCGCAGACTGTCTCGCGAGGCGGAAGCCAGACTACATGAAGTCACGGGATATATACCTGAGACCTGTAGGGAGGAAATGTGCAGGTATTATAATAATGTTGATAGAAAATACATATATAAAGAAAGATTTGTTTAATTAATAAGAATTATATAGACATTCACTGAAACGATTCTAAGAATTGTGTCATCTATATATATATACAGGGTGACTGGTGAATTACTATCAATATTTAAGGAGCATACTCGGTACATGATTCTCATTCGAATTATGTAAAGAAAATAGGTACTTAATTTGTGACCAAATTTCCGTATAAATAAATAAAGTGTGTACACGTTCAAAGTGTTCCAAGTGTGGACGCGTGCGGCGGCGTGCTGATACAACACTACGCCGCCGCCGCGTCTGTGTGAGTGTGTGTGTGTGTATACCTTATCTGTAGGGTGTTCATACGATGCGTAATTAATTACATAGCTTTTGGTTAACTTTACTTAGAAGTTTATTAATATTTGTGTTATATTAATTTTTATTTTGTCATATATGATCGTCAAATATCACGTCCTCAAATATCGATAGTAATTCACCAGTCACCCTGTATATATATAAGAGATTTCCACCTATATATTGACTCATCACGATATCTCTGGAACCATAAGGCGTAGTAGGCGACTTGAAATTAGGTAGGATTATTCCTTTCGTCGAGTATAGGTCAGCTAAGAATTTACGAAAAAGGGATTTTACGAAATTCCACCCACAAGGGAGGTTGCGGGGGGCTAACAATGAAAAATACGCTTTCACGCCTAAACCACTGAACTGATTTTAATGAAATTTGGTACAGAGATGGAGTTGACCTTGAGAAAGAACATAGGATAGTTTTTATTCCAGACTTTTGAAAGGTTCTCTTGAAAACGTGGTATAACCGAACTCCACGCCGGCGTAGCTGCGGGCGGAAAGCTAGTATATATATGTAGGATTGTGACAAAATAATTTTAAAAATATAGTTGACTTGGTATGCGTTCCGGAGTTTTAAAGTATCTTTTCAAAAAAGCTATATATTGGTGTTGGAAGTACTTCTTTTAGTTTATATTAATAATATATATTGGTTTTCTTTCTGTTTCAAGGTCATCGGGTGGCAACCAAGCCGGTACAATGGGTTGTGCCGGAGGTACCGGCTCGGAGAAAGACAAACAAACACAACACTGGGAAAGAAGGCTTAGAACATTGAAGTAAGTTGAATTTTACATCAAATCCAATATTAAACATATATCGTTGGGGATAGTGCAAATTCGCGTAACTACCATTGGATAACTCCGCGTATCTATATTGGAAGCAGATTATCAGGAGAAAGTTTGAACTGAAATAATATAATTAAACACTAAATATTTGCTAATTGTGAAAATATTACCTTAAAAGTCGTTAATGTAGAAAATATTTTAGTTTAAACTTTCTTCTGATAATCTGCTTCCAATGTAGATACGCTTTATCATCCAATGGTAGTTACGCGGATTCGCACGGATGTCTATATGAAGGTATAATTGAAAAATATCAACATATTTATTAAGCTATATATAATTATGGTATTAATTAGTATTTAAATATATAGACGACTGGTGCAAGGCTGGCAACAAGCTCGAGTCCCTCCCGCCTTACCATCACCTTCGTTGGAAGTTTGTGGACCACATTCAGTCACCGTGTGGCTTGCGACAAAGACACAAGCAAGGGATCCGCCGCTAGTTACCAAATACAAAGGTATAAGACAAATATAATATAAACATAACTAATATTATCCGCTTACTAAGCTTTATTTAAAACAATAACACCACAATAGTTTCTAAAACAGTTTCAATACCACAAAATCCCGACGTTTTTATTACTTTGCAGCAACCGTGATCTCATTTCGTCTGCTCGTGAACATGTTTGTCGCAAAGTAACAGAAACGTCGATAGTATGTAATTTTGAAAGAATAAAATAAAGTTTAATAATCCGAAACTATTATTCATGTAAATTAACAATATATCTTCCATAGTACATAGTATTTACTAATCAATGATATCCCATATCAGTTGAGTGGTCGTCCCGCGCGGATTTCTCCAACGTGTGCGGTAGTCGCGAGGTGGTAGCGTCGTGTGTTCGTGTATCAGTGACGGGCCTCACTCGCGGCAGACGGTACTTCTTCAGAGCGGCCGCTGGAAACGTTAAAGGATGGGGCTGTTATAGTGTGTCTGTACCTAGGAGCGTTGTGCCTAGCAGTGAGTATTGTGATAAGAGATTTGGTTTGAAGTATTTTAGATAAAAAATTGTATTGTGACTTTTATGCATGTTTTTTGCGTAGTTAGACCAATTTTTTGTTGCATGAATGAGTCCAACTGTTGCCTCATAAATGTTCTGTCCTTAGCATTCTTTTTTGCCATTTAAAACGATCGAATTTATAGGTTTAAAGAATTTATTCTCAAAAAGACATAGTAACTTACATGAGAACATACATACAAAAGTGAAAATACAAAAGTAGTCGCCAGATTATTTGGAACTCAATTAGAGATAGTAAGATATTATTACAAGTGTGTTACATCGTTGGTATATCAATTATTTTCTAAAATATGTTGTGAAAGTTGGTATTTAAATTAATTAATTTGAGCTTGCATTTCTTATAGTAGACGGTTATTTGTTATAAAATTGTATTTCAACCTTGTAACTTTATGAATTAGGATCTATCAAGTTCAACGCGAAAATATAGAAAATTACATCATATAATCAAGCCTACACATCAAAAAACGCCCAAAATTTCATACATTTGTACAATTTTTCAGGTTGGAGTGATATATCAGTTCGTTCGTCTCGCGGGGAGTCTGGAGGCGCTGTGGCAGCGCTTGAAGCGCTAGCAGCGGCCGCCGCTGGCACTCGGACTAGAACCGTTACAAGACTTCCTAGGAAAAAGACGGCTACAATACGACAACTGTTTACAGCGGCTAGCAAGTTCCAGAAGAATTTGAGAAGGTAGATTGTTTTTTGGCAAAGATATGATTTTTTAAGCCCACCTCGATAGATTTTATTAGGAATAAACTTAGACAGTTTTATGTTAAAATAGATTTAGTGGGCTCATAGGTGATATTAAAATTATCCCTTAATTCTTTATGGAGAAGGTTTCTAAAATTGTCGCGTGTGTGTTGCAATTATTCACAGTCTAGTTTTTGATAATTTTTGTGTGAAGCATAGTTTAAATTTTAATATATAATTTTTTTTAATTTATTAAGGAAAACTATTGCAAATATAAAACTAAATCTATCTAATTTCACTCCATTATCCTTCTTTTAGCATACTCTTAGCTCAAATTAAAAATCTATCGACCATGACCTCTTATACTAACTTTAATATCAGCTGCATGTAAAATATTGATAATTCAAATTTTAGAAAAAAATTAAACAACTTTAGTCTTTATTATTAAGTCCAAAACTACTTTTATACAAATTACTCTATTGATTTCAACCCTAAACTTGTAAACAAACATGAATAATCATATAAATGTAATGAATTTGACACAGAATAAAACACTTAATAAAATATTTTAAAAAATATAACAATACTTCGTATAATAAAGTATCTATACGAATATAATTTGTTTTTCAGAGGCGTATACTTAACATGCATCATCTACCACGAGGATCGTGTGTTGGTCACCGGCGAAGAGTTCCTACCGGTCGTTGAAGTGGACGAGACATACCCCGCATGTATATACACGGACTTCCACTGGCTTATGAAGGTAACAGTTCATGGGAAAAATATATGTAATATATGAAAAAACCATAGCATAAACATTCATACCCTGGCTTAAGCTGTGAAATTGCCAGGTAGAAGAAGAACCAGGTTTAAATTAGGCATACTCCGGAGTGTATACTAGTAAAAATTCAGCAAGTTAGGATAATTTCTTAATTCTACATCATACTGCATTAAAACCATAGAATGAAAACACCATAGCATAAACAAGAATCGAATTAACATACTTCGGAATGTCGCGAAGTTAAAATTCTGCTCGTTAAGATAATTTCTTAATTCTACATATTCTATTTTCTTTATATGCTCTAATCTCTAAATGAACTATACAGAGTGTTCTCAACTCTAATCTCTTCACTCTATATATTATATTTATATTGTTTAACATATCAGCTCAATATTTATTTATTTATTTCATTTTTATATGCCCCAATCTTCAAATAGACTATATAAGGTGTTCACTAACATCAAATTCGTTTTATTTTCCAGGTGTCTTGTTCGTGGGAAGAAGTGAAGTCACTGAGATCTGATATGGAGAAACACACGTCGTCCTCAATACACTTCAGACTGAAACTACTCACCGCCGTCGCTCAGATGCAGTCTGCACTAGGAATACAAGACCTTGGTTAGTTAAAAACCTAACAATATTAAAGTATATATTCAAACATATATAACCATAATAATAATAATATATGAGATATATGAGACAAATATTTAAAAAAAACCCGCTGAGTTTCTTTCGCCGGTTCTTCTCAGGTCAGGGTATTCTTTTTTCCGAACCGGTGGTAGTGTCTCAAGTGACCATCAATAAGAAACTGAAAGCTTCTATATTGAATAAAGTTATTTAAGTTTGAAAAAAAAAACAATATTACGTATTTAAATGAAACTACAATTTTTCGGACTATACTACGCGACTTTATTTTTGTCAATAACTATATACTCACGACGTTTCGGCTACTTTTCAGCAACCGCGCGAGTATAGTAGTTTTTGAAAAAATAAAGTCTCGTAGTATAGTCCGAAAAATATAAATTTCATTTAAATGCATACTCGCGAAAATCTTAGATCACAATATTACGTAATTAATTCTTGTTAAAACTTACCAAACATAAATTTTACTTAATTATCTGTTACACTAATCTTCTTATTGAAATATCAATAATAATAATAATAGTAAAACTCTTGAAGTCATTTTATACAACTTATTCCAAACATCCAACAAAGGTACTACCTAACTTAATGAGATCTAATATTTTCGCGAGTATTCATTTAAACGAAACTAATACATTTCGGATGTACTACGCGATTTTATTTGGTTGCTGTAAACTAGCCGAAACGTCGGAAGTATGTAGTTTTTTAAGAAAAATAAAATCTCGTAGTACATCCGAAAAATATTAATTTCATTTACTACCTAACTTATTAACCCTTTATAAGTTAGAGTAGAGGGGATATTTTCACCATCATGATTTTTGTTTTTTAACCGAAATTTCGTCCGGTCGTATTTTTTATTCAGTTTTTCGATTGTCAATAGACAGTTTGACAATGAAAGGTTTGAAAAATATATAGTTATATGTTTTCACTTCTAATATATACCCTTAATCAACATGAATTTTGTTTTTCCACTGTCCATTCCTTATGACCGTTAAATTTAGTACAAAATAAACTAAATATATGTTCAATAATTCCAGGGCAATTATACCATAAACCGTTAAGAGATTCTCACGGGACTGTAGTACTTTCCTGTATAACATCCGTGAAATCACCAAAAGCTGTGTCAGCGTTAAACTCTCGCTGGCTGCCCGTTAATAAATTAAGGCGACGCGTGCTCAGCGATGATAATACTATGGGAGAACTACTCATGGCGTCGGTTCACGAACAGATTGCATACCATCAGGTAATTATTTATATACTACTGAGGGTAGTTTATTACTTTTACTTTACTAACATTAGTACTTAGTACTGAGGACTTAATTTTTCTGCTCCTTAATAATATCTTAATTAATTAAATTATTGAAGCAAATTATTTTAGATATAGTACCTATTTAATAATTATTTTCTTTATCTAATACTGTGAGTAGTCACTAATTACTTTAGTACCGAAGACTCAATTTGTCTTCACTCTAATATCTAATTCCATCAGTGCAGTAAAGAAATTAGATATAGTATATATGTAGTTAATAATTATTTTCTTTACATATTATATAATGATATAATGTTTCCAGGTGTCACGTGACCTGCTGCCACGTGGTCTGTATCTCGGATACTTGAAGCTACAATCATCAGTTGAGGTGGTTCGTATAGTGGCGCCCTCTCGCACACCGAACGTGCCACCACACACACGAGTTAGGGATAATCCTCATGTATCCGCGTGAGTAGTCTTTTTTTGACTACTTAACTTATTACTAAAGATAAATAACTAATTTGAAGTGAAATAATATCTTTGTCTCATTTTCATAGAATTGTTTGTTTCATAGAATTCCACGAAGAATGGTTGAACTAAAGAAAATACATGACATACATCATAAATAACACAGGCCAACACACATTTTGGTGCCTGCGATTTTTTTAACTGTTTCTGAGTAATTTTTGGATGCAGAATGTAAAAAAGTTCTCAGATTTTGTCTATCAGATCTAGTTTTTGAGATATTTTTAAAAATTGTGTAAATAATTTACGTTATAACTGTTATAATATATAAATAATTGTTTATTCCAGTGAAGAATGGGAGTACCTTAAGTCGCAATCCGGCCGTTTATCTGACGAGTCGCCGTCCATCAATAACTTCGTTTCTATCAACAACGAGAGACCTTCAGAATCACAGGAGATGTTCCTCGAACAGATAGCTACCGCTTCGAAGAGGCTCTTCAAGGACATGGAAATACCTAACGATAGTATCCCCGCCCACCGAATATATGACCTCGAGGTCATTGAACTCAACAGTGACGTCAGCTTCATCATGATATGTCCACCCGCGGAACAAGCATGTTCTGTACCGGGGCAGAAGGAAATATTACTACAGAAAGGAGACCTACTCAGTCTGCCGATACAAGCCTTCGAAATGATCCACCTACAGACATACCATACGAATATATTGAATAAATACTCTAAGTTAAGCTGTGTTCTAGAATTAGATGTGGCGTTGGCCGCGCATTCACAACGAGAGGCATTCTCGTGTATGGAGTTACAGACCGCCAAGGAGAGACTCACGAAGTTAGAGGATCTTCAGAACAATCTGAACTTGGTTTGGAAGGCGGAGCGATGGTTGATGGATTTGATAGGATTCGCGAGAGACAAGGATAAGGCCGGGCCCAGTTCAGGAATTTTGCTCAAATACATTCTAGATAAGACGCCGTCCAGAAACGATGAAGTCGATAGTAACGAAAGAGACGCGAATCTGAAGATAGATTTACTGCAATTACCGCCGCGGGACGCCAAAATAAATAAGACCTCTCCCGGAAGAGGTTCCTGGCCGGGACCCGCCGGAAATGGAAATCACACGAGCTTACATCCTGAATTCAGCAAGTCAGAACAACAACTAAGTATAGCACCGCGACAAACATCCGTATCAACTTTAAATCTGAGCGGATCACAATACTTGCACGAAACTAAATACGCAAGGAAAGGCAGCGCGGACTCACAAATCACCGAATCAAGTGCAATGAGCGCCATCAGTAATAACTATATGAGCAGCAACTCACAATTCGATATTAAATCAAATGGATCCCACGCATCCATATCAAGCAATCGTCTGCCGCCATCGCGCAGCGAAGACACATTAGTATTACAAAACGAGAACATAGAACCCAAACCAAGGCCACACAGCATTAACACGAGTGTTAATTCAAGTCCGTTACTCACAGTGAAAGGTTTCTATCCCGGCAGCATGATAAGTGTCAAAACAAACAAAACGAACGTATCAGAATCCGCACAAAGTCTATCCAGTGACTCAGAAAGCCAAAGCTGTCCGATAACAACTACCGTTCCTCTAAAAATCCGTCCGCAACTCACACATACAAACGTGACCGCGTCTAAAAGTATGACCAACGTCAAGTCCAATGACGTAGAATTCACTGACACGGGTCAAGAGGGGAAAGGTCATAATCACAGTGTAAAACGTCAACCGTTATTAGAGACGCAGGAAGAAGAATATAATAATAAAGTTCAGAAAACTGAGCAGAGACACAGCGATGAAGATAGAAAACTACCTCCGGAACAACGAACTATCGATCAAGCGGGAATATTACAGGTAATAAGAGAAATTTCAGGTTAAAAACTCAATAATTTGATTGTAAGTCAGAAGTAGCCTAGAAAATAAAATGTTCATTGAGAAATTTCTTCGAAAGTCACCATAATTCTATCGTTTAATACCATATACTTAATTGGCATAGTTACTTCAATTTTCAATTCAATCAAAAAATTACTCAATCATTTTAATTACCAATTAACTTCAAAAGCCTCTTCATTCACCTTTTTCTATGAAATTAACGATAAATATGTGTTTGTAGGTGTTTGCAGCCTACGAGACGGGCTTAGCCGTGGGTACATCACTCAAATTGCACGTCACACCACGAACATCAGCGCGAGAGGTCATCGACCTCGTGGTAAAACAGCTCAACATGGCCGCCGTTCTTAAAGGAAAATCCGGACCAGTGTATGGTCCAGAAAAACTACAAGATTTTTGCCTCGTAGCAGTCATAGGAGCTAGGGAGAGATGTTTACGTGATGATTTCAGACCTCTACAATTACAGAATCCTTGGAGAAAAGGAAGATTATACGTCAGACTCAAACACGACGTGCTAGCTGCATTACAACATTCAGCTAAACAGCCCGCTTATATATAGTCTAGAACAATTCATAACCAGAGATTAATATAGATAATAAAAGATTTTTTTTATTACAAAGTTTTTATCTCAGAGTAATAGAGTAATAGATGCTGATTTTATTTTCGGTGCCAATAATTATTTCGATGCTTTAAATAATTAAGTATTACTAAGTGAAAAAATTGTGAATAAATATAGGGAATGTTACAGAATGAATGGTGCTTAATAAATGAGTACTTCTTTGATTTTTTAATGTCCTATCTGAAGTATGTTTTCGCTTATGTGAAAGTTTAATTAGCTGTAATAATAAAAATGTAAATAAATTTAACATTATATTAAATGTTGTACGTGTCTAGATAGTTCATTATAAATGTGATTCTATTAAACATTAGAAGATTGTGGTAGGGAATACGAAAACGTAGGATAGATTAAAATGGAATTTTATTTCGGTTAGGTCCTATCATTTTGTAACAAGATATTGTATTTTTTATATAGGGAATATAATTTATATTAAAAAAAACTCAATTAGATTAGCGAATAAATACTTATATTTCTATTAATGAAATAATTTATATAAACATACAGACGTTTAATGAAGTATGTATATGACATTTATAGTATTAAAAAATTATTATTATTAAATACGCTACATTATTTTGTATTGTGTTGACACTTGATAGAAATTAAACCATTATAAAAAATATATGTCCTACATATAGAAGATAAGTATTAAATTTATGAAACATGTTCACTAATATCAACGATTCGAGCCATACTTATGAAATGCAATTATTGTTACAATAAAGCCTAACTAAATGTCTTATGATGTCTAACGATGTTTTATTTGTAGAATATTTTAATAGTTTAGATAATTCACCCTCGCTCGTGGTGTTGTACATTAGATATTAGATCATGAAAATATAAATTTATGCACAAAATAAATGTATTACAGATCTGTTATCTTTTATTTCATCTTATTATACTCGGAAAGGATATAAAGAATGCTGAATTTATTTCTGTTCGGATCATAATGACGGTACTTTTATTTAATATTTTCACTTTAAAAGTATTCATTTTATATACTGATTACTTTTTAAAAATGAGGCTTATGTCACTGAAATGATGATGACTAATCGTAAAATACATTATATAATAATGAATCGGTTATCAAAACTAACAAGCAGCGTTACTACTATCTTTTTCAAGAATTTCTACTACAGATAATCTAATAATTTGATATCATAATAATGATAACGATAACGGTACTAGTAGTTATTACTTTATTTTCGTGCCCCCATGATTGATTTAGTTATGGTTACCAACTTAATTTTATATAAAATAATGTTACATGAAATACCTCCATAACTAATTGATAATAATTAATACCACACACCAATAACACTATAGAGTGCTTAATAGGTTTTTAATTCATATAATTTAAATGATTACTTAAAAAGAATTTAGTCTTCATTACAATTTATTTCAAAATATTAATTATTTCACCTTTGAAAAATTGTGTCTAAGGTAATCGATAACAATTTATCATATATTTTGTTATATTTTATCCGACTTCGATGAAAGGAAGAAGACAGAAATAAAAAGGGAACAACTTTAATCCCAATATTCATGAAATAAAAGAGAGTAGCTTTAAAATTTATTAAGGTACCTCATTTCTTTCACAAGTGCTACCCTAAAGATAGTAACAAATAAAACAATAAAATTAATAACGTTATCTAGCTTATCTTTATAAGGAACATTTTAAAATAATATAGTTACCACATCAAAATAATTGGATACTCATTGCAGGCAAATGACAGTGACATTACATTGACAAAGCTGAGAAACATATGTGATTAAATATTAATGACAGAGTTTGTTGAGCCTGTGTCACGGAACTGTATCTTTACCGTTATAAAAATTGAAAATCTTCAGTTATTAGTTGTTTCTGCAAATATATTATTATTTTTATTTTCTTGTTTTAATTACACGTAATAATGAGTTTAGTCGCGAATACAGGGTAAGATATCGGCATTGTTTACATTGGTACTTCTTAGCCGTATCCCACTTTCACCTCATTCCTATTCTTTAACAGGAAGTTGGCCGGTCGTACCCTATTCATAACGGGAGCGTCCCGTGGTATCGGTAAAGCTATCGCACTCAAAGCAGCTAAAGATGGAGCTAACGTAGTTGTTGCTGCTAAAACCGCAGAACCTCATCCAAAATTACCGGGAACTATTTACACGGCCGCAGAAGAGAGTATGTGTTCTCTAAATAAGTTTCTTATTGTGTCATGAATTTTCAATATATTTTTTTTTTAAGTATAAATTGGATACAATAATGTATGGACTTTGGACCCAAAACAAAGTCCAAATGAAAAAAATAGTTACGATAGTCAGAACACTAATTACTGTTCTAATTATCGTAAACAAAGGAATGAAAACTTTTTTATTAATGTTTTCTGACATAAATAAATTAATGAGCTATTTAAAAAATATTTTATGTTAAAAATTCCAGTTGAAGCTCTTGGTGGAAAAGCTTTACCCTGCATTGTTGATGTGAGAGACGAGAAACAGATTCAGAAAGCAATTGACGAAGCTGTTAAAAAGGTTATATAACAATGAGTTTTGTTATTATTATCATAAAATTATTTTTAAAAAATTTTAAAACTTATGTTTATAACAACATATAAAAAGTAATGTGGCAATAATGTTAAGAGTAATTATATATTTTATTTTTAGTTCAATGGCATTGATATCCTCGTAAACAATGCTTCAGCCATATCACTCACTGGAACCGCAGAGACTGATATGAAGAGATATGACCTCATGCACAATATTAACACCAGGGGCACATTTTTGGCGTAAGATTATCTTATTATAACAATGAAAGTTTATGAGAATGTATGTGTTATTGCTTGTTCAAGAGAAACTTGTTTAATAGATTTTTTTATTTTAACTTTATAGTTTTTTAACATAGATATGAGGATAAAATGTAAGCGATAATTTATCCTGGTATTTTATATAGTTTCAAAGTATCAAAGCTTAGCAATTATGAAGTATAATAACATAGATTATAAATATCCCTGCCAATTGCTTACCACCTCTATTGTTTAACAATACTATCCATTACCTCTAGAAGCTATATTGAGAAATTTAAACAGATTAAGTATGTATGTACTGAAATCAAGAGATTAATTCCATACAACAACCTAATCCAAATTCAACCTAGGTCTTTGTTTTGACTCTATTATTTTTTTGTATGACATTTATCTGTTTGTTACTTTCATTGTACTAGTTTAGGATTCAATAATATTTATTGTATTCCACAGATCAAAACTATGTCTGCCATTGTTGAAAGAAAGCAACCACGCTCACATTCTGAACCTGTCGCCACCACTAAACATGAATCCTTACTGGTAGGTTTTTTATATCACAATGCTTAATAAACTTTATGGCTAATATCTATTTAACTCAAGTGTATTTTTTCTCTTAAACTCCCACATATTTATGACAATTTATCTTATTACTTTTGCTGTAACTGTGTTCAATAGGAGGGTTTAAAATGTCCTTTACTTACAATTGATAGAAATATTTATCTCATCTTTATTTAATAAAAAAATATTTTTTAGTTTCACTTCTTAATACCTACATATTTCTCTCGAATATAAAAGCATTCTTAATAATAATCTAATGATAGTCTTTTTAATGTCAACTTCATATGACTTTGTGTAAATTGTTGGTGAAATGAAAAAGTTTTAATAATATTTCTTTTCCTGACAGGTTTTCACTTCATGTTGCTTACACAATGGCTAAATATGGTATGTCCATGTGTGTGCTGGGAATGAGTGAAGAATTCAGACAGTTCAATATTGGGGTGAACGCACTGTGGCCAAAAACTGGTTTGTATATGAAAATATTAAAACCAGTGTGCTTTAGACCACAAAACTGAAGTAAAATTTCTTTTGCTCCATCTATATGTAATATTTATATGTACATGTTTATATATTATGTATAATACGTATATGTATATACATATACACATTAATTTTGTACAAATGTTTGAAATCATTATGGGTTATCATTGATAAATTAATATTTTTAAATAGATATTTCTTTTCTTTATAATTTTCATTATATTCATCATCCGATACATTATTAATTACTACAGGGTGACTGGTGAATTACTATCGATACTTGAGGACGTGATATTTGACGATCATATATGACAAAATAAAAATTAATATAACATAAATATTAATAAACTTCTAAGTAAAGTTAACCAAAAGTTATGTAATTAATTACGCATCGTGTGAACACCCTACAGATTAGGTATACACACACACACACGCGCGTGCGGTGGCGTGGTGTTGTATCAGCACGCCGCCGCACGCGTCCACACTTGGAACGTGTCCACACTTTATTTATTTATACGGAAATTTGGTCAAAACTTAAGTACCTATTTTTTTTACATAATTCGAATGAGAATCATGTACCGAGTATGCTCCTTAAGTATTGATAGTAATTCACCAGTCAACCTGTATAGTTGATTGTAAGACCGAAACAATAGGCATATGATATGAGAAATAAGATACATATGTTTTTACACTGCTCTCCCCTTGCCCTTACAGTAATATACGAAAATATTATTACTTCAAAAATTATCTCTAAACTGTGTTAGTCTGCTTGTGTATGCATATATATAATTTGTTGTTATTATAATTTCAGCTATCGCGACAGCCGCCATTGAGATGTTGACTGGTGACACTTCATCCAGTCGCAAACCAGAAATAGTCTCAGACGCTGCATACGTCATGTTGAGCAAGTGAGAATAGAAAAACTATACAATATATATTTTTTATTATCCCAGTTAGGTTGGGCATACTTAACAAAATGTTTTTAGTAAGAAAAATAACAAACCCAAAACTTTTAATTGCTAATATGATATAATAAGATTATGTTATAATTTTAAATATATATTTGATGTTACATACTAAAGAATTAAATACAATAAAGTTGTTCATTAATTCAAAACTGCTAATAATTATCATAATATTATCAAATACTATTATCATATATTAAAAATATTATATTTCATTCCTCAGAGACCCAAAATCATACACGGGCAAGTTTGAAATAGATGAAGATGTTGTTAAATCAGTCGGAATCAATGACCTCACGCCATACGCTTGTGATCCAAGTAAGTAATAACATTTATATAAAAATTACCAATAACTCCACGGTGGATAGAAATAGTGGGTGATTTAACAAAAGAATTATCATTGTCCGGTATCACCATTACAAATATGTATAGGTCTTGGGTACTGTGAACTAACTTAACCAAAACAACCTAGGTTTATGTACCAACTACAGCATAAACAATTTGAACCCTAGAGAACGCAAATAATCTGCTCTTGGATGGTTTCTTGGATGATCCAGCCTCTTTACTTCATCATCAGCAGACAGTCTCCTCGGCTTCCGTACGACGTTATCATACGACATCCGCCAATTATAAGGATAAGGTAACATGATGGTACTAGGTATAATTACTGACACGTAATTTGGCAGAGACAATAGTTGTATGCGTAGAATGATATTTAGTTGTCAATTGTCATAAGACGCGGGAAACGAAACGGCACAATTACTTGCGCGTGTGTGAATGTTAACTCCTGAGTTTACTTCCGAGCATTTAAATTGGAAATACTTTTCATTTTGTGTTACGAGTTATTGATAACGTACCAATGATAAGTAGAAGTGACCACTTTTTGTTGCACTCGGTGTACATGCCCAAAATTTATCCCTTCTATGAAAATACCTTTGCCAAGATACGTGCCGGCAATTATAATAGTAGTGAGTTTATGCTGCAAAGTTGGTAAATATTTAGTTTAGATTTGGGCATATTTTAGATCATTTATATTATAATGTCAAATATCTCTATATAAAATATTATTTCTATATCAGTGTAGCCTTTATTTAATTTTTATTATTAAGTATTCTTATTTTGTGTTAATAATCAATATTTTTTGTTTATAGTGAACAAATGTAGTTTGTATTGTATAATTTTTCCTAGATATTTCCATGTTTGTCAATGAACATCAGAGTATTTTAAAAAAAGTGTGTTAAAAGGGAAGATACAATCATATTAATATAAATTGGAAGCTTTCTCATTGTTCACAAATTCACAACTATAGGCCAATATAAAATCACCATTAAATGCACACCATGCATTGAGATTTTAGTATTTCAATATACATTACACATAAAAGTCAAGATACTAGTTATCATATGGAAAATAAAATATAATTGTCTGCTATTCAATAAAAAATGTTCCACCAGTGTTCCTCAATTATTAATTGGGTACCAAAAAGAAAAAATATTTATATTTAACTAACAAAATCTTAAAATATTGGTATAAATTATTAGTTTATATTGCATTATCAAAATTAGCTTTATACTTGTTGCAGGTAATTTAAACAATTTGTTACCTGACTTCTTTTTGGATATACCCGGACAACAAACGCAAGAGGTCAAAAAGGTGTGAATGTGATTTAAAATGTTTATTTTAACTATGGTGGCTAGTTTCTTGACATTATTTACTAAGAAATAGCAAAAAAAATTGAGAAAAATATGTTCACAGACATTACATAGAACCATGATCATTTAGTTACACACTATATTGTTATTAACTTAATTATAATCCGTTGCAGAGTGAACCGTCGGGACAGATCCCAGAACTATTTTCAGTTATCAATAAAACGATAACACCTGAATTAGTTAAAAAAACACAGGCCGTGTTCCAGTTTAATGTGAAAGGTGATTGATAAAACTTAATTTAGAAGTTACAGTATATAAGTAAAATAATCTGAGAAATCAGATTCCTATTATGTGTTTGTAAATATTGCTACAGTAAATTACTATTAAAGTCTAGTAAACTCTTTTTAATGAGTGAAATAATGAAGTGTACTTAATATAATTTAATAATATCAAATATTTCTATCAGGTAAAGAAGAAGGTATATGGCATCTGGATCTCAAGAATGGTGATGGGGCCTGTGGTCAGGGGGAACCAAAACATGCACCCGATGCTACCCTTACTATGGATAGCAGCAACTTCGCTGATATGTTTGCTGGTCGGTAATAGTTTATCATATAGTACTTCTAAAGCTAATCATGCTATTTCATTCCATTCCTCACTTATAAATTAATCGCGTAAAAACACTATAGTCTATAGTGAATAGTGATTTCATAACAATAGTAACAAGATGATGTTTAAATTTTAGTGCATTGATTTTTTTATTTAAAAACATGTGTACAATGCAATAATATAATTAGTGCTAAGATCTAAGAATTTTGCGCGTTTTATTAATTTAAATGAAACTAATATTTCATTTTGACTGCCATTGCCTGTCACATCTCATCTGCCAGTGATCACGGTTTCTGTAAAGTAGCTGAAACGTCGGGAGTGTGTAATATTTTACAAAAATAAAATCGCGTAGGAAATAAAAATATTAGTTTCATTTAAATAAGTGAGACAGCCTGTTAATATTATTAATCAATAGTGATTTCATTACAATAGTAATATTAAAATTTAGATGCAAAAATTTTTTTATTTAAAAACAATGCAACAATATGCTAAGTGAGAATTATTTTCAGGTAAATTGAAGCCGACCACTGCCTTCATGATGGGCAAGCTGAAAATTAAGGGCGACATGCAAAAGGCTATGAAACTCGAGAAAATGATGAAGTCACTCAAAGCTAAAGTGTAAACATACGAAATTGTACAGTTAAAATAAGACAGTTGACATATATTAAGATTATTTTAACATTTTTTTGTTGAAAATGATAAAGAAGCAATAAAATATTTATGAAATGATGCAATATTTTACTTGTTATAGAATTTTTTTTTATCTGTTTTACTGTGAGCCAGTGTTTTTGTGTTGAGATGGTTATAAATATGTCAATAGTATTTTATGCCGACTTATGTTGACAAGTTGAAAATGGATTAACTCATCGGAGTAAATAAATAAAGAATTGCACAAGTTGGTATTAAGCACTGATATATTTTTGTATATCTCGATACAAATGTTAAGAAGTTTGTAATATATGGTATATCCATTAAAAGTTTTTGAAAAATGGTGTTTTAGTAATCCTAATTACAAAGTTCCAAAATTTCTTATAACCAGGTTTATATATAAAGCCTTTTTAATGGGCAAAAGACCGAAAGATGTACATGAAAAAAAAACATATTTTGTATAAAATAAAGTTTTAACCAGTGTATACATTAAATTATTATTTATTACATCTTATTTAATTGTAATAAATTCCATTACCAATAACTTTCGCTTTTATATAAGAAAACAAGTCTGATTCAATATATAAATTATTAAATAATAATTTTGTAATAAATTTACGTTATTTACAAGTTACATCAGATCACAAATCGATAACCTTTGTTATCAAATTGAATACTCCCGCGTGTGACCTTTCAATAATTCTTACTTCATTCCAAACTTGCCTGTTGACCAGTTGTCAACTCGTTTCAGAAAATCAAAAGTATCAGTTTTAAAGTAGACTTTTGTTGACATAAACCTATTTCAATACTAAATTGTGCTAAAATGTTTTCTATCGACGCACCACCGGAATTACAAAACTCAGAATATTGCAATTATCGTTCACCACTAAGTACTCGCTATGCGTCCAAAGAAATGCAATATAATTTCAGTGACCAAAAGAAATTCTCTACCTGGAGAAAGCTGTGGATATATCTGGCGAAAGCTGAAAAGGTACGTACAACATCACTCAATTTCATTTTCTAAACACTTTGTTTTCATTTGGAGGTTATCTTTTTATATAATTCAGATACTCGTACCGAACGCTTATCAGTTAAATGACACATGAAAAACATGTCGTAAAAACATAAAAAAAAAAAAATTATATTTTCTATTATTAATAAATATTTTTAATACTTTCCGTTTTAATATATAAAATGAATATTTATAATATTAGCTGGAGAATTGCCATATTATCTCAAATATTTACATATTTTGACGGTCGATTTTAATTATTAAATTAAATTTGTTAATAAATTTATATAATAACAAATTATTGGAATAAATAGGAATGAAAATTCTGTGCTAGTTGAAAAACTTAAATAAGTATAAAATAATGGGAGTAAATTAAACTTGTTCAAAAATATTATTTATTTCCCCGATTTTCTGATCAAATTGGCTATTTGTTATGATATTTTATTTTCGCATATATTTTTGGCAATTAAGGTTTTAAGCTGATAAGTGTATCTCAGTTCCTTTAAAGTATTGACATAATTATAGAGTTAATTATTTTTACTAAAACAACGACATGATTAAACTCTATAAAATCATAAAATTTGAATAGTTTAGTAATTAAATGAATTAAAGGTAAAGAAACGTGTACTTTCTATTTTTATAATACAATTAAAATACTATTTCAAAAGCGTTTCCTGCATAAAGGTTTTTTCATTTCATAATTTTTTTTTTATGATCACTATTCTTAAATCAAATTACAAGTCAGGCATAGACAAATTAAGAATATCTTATCAAGCCCTCTTTATTTTATTGTTTTTAATATTTTGTAAATGAAAGGCTTGTCTGTGTGGTTAATATATTTATTTAATATAAGAAGACATAACTTAATCTTATAATAAAGCATCAAACAACCGAGTCACAACATTCATAATATATTATTTACACTATATTAAAAGCGACATAAGGTAGCATTAGCGCCGGGATTATAATTTACATAAACATATTTAACAGCACCCTTAGTATGAGTTATATTTAACGATTACCAACAAAGTTTTCGAGTTTGTTCCTTTATATCTTCTGACTTAACTATTTTTAAACTCGAAAAACGTAAATACTTCGTAACAGATTCTCATACTAAATGCACCAATATTTTATTTGGTTACGCTATCCTATACTAATATAATAACTATTACAATATAAATCAAAGTTTATTAAAAAAGACAATAATTACGTTATTACAAGTCGTGAAATAAGTGAAGGAAAATGAATAAACATAAACTATCTACCACTGGACGGATACTGATTACTGTTTTGGCTTATAATAACATCTTATAACTAAAAATAATTAATAAACTGCAAAAAGATTAGTATGAAATAACATTAATAAGTACACTATACATTCAATGTAATCAAAATTTAGAAAAATAATACATTTCTGAACAATAATTTCAATTAACGGTGTTTTTTTATTTCTCGTTGCAAAATCTAGCAACACTGATAACGAAGGAATGTCTAAGTATTTTCATATTTATTTAAAATTTAAATAGAAATCTAAGCATATATTTCTTATAATAATCTTAATACTAATTAATATCGGTGTAGATTCCATTGGAAATACTCAAATAATGTAAGATTTTAAATTTATAAGAGAAAGTAATTATAACGGTAAATAAAATCGTTCAATAGATTCTACACCTTTTTTTATATATTTTTTAAACTTGCACTTTCTCGGCCAAGAGCAAACGTTTACGGGCGATTATACTTTCTAATAAAGTAGACAACATAAACTAATAATAAACATTAAAAACTAAACAAAGCTACACTCCAGGACAACCATTATTATGTACAAGTATCCGATTATTTCTAAACTACAACTAATACTTTGGGAGTAAATAAAAATGATAATAACTTAATTATTACAATAAATATAACAATAAATGGATTATATTTAAAAATATTTCTTATTAATAATCAGCTTCCTTCTTGAACGTAAGGAAAGCGTGAACGATGAACACAACAGCGTTTATAATAGAAAATACTCCGGACGATATTACGAGGTCGTAGAACTGTTTGTTGGGACGAACGTTCGCGTAGTAGGATCTGTGCCAGTCTGATAAAAAAGAAACATAGGTACAGTGTTACCAGTCATATAATTAAATAATTATAACTGTCAAAATTCTCTATGAACTGTCAAATTGATATGAAAATGACGTATAAATTATAACAAAATAATATTATATATATAGATATATTTTTATGAATCGATATTAATTATTGAGACTTAATTATGGATACTATTTTAAGTAGTTATATTGATATCCTTTGAGTGAACCAACGGAAGTCATTCTGCCAAATCCCCTGAGACAGGGTCCGTTTGAAACAGGCTTTATTAGTGGTAGTATTTGATATGAATATTAATTAAATTTTATACTTTGATAGAAGAATACAGTCTTAAATAATATAAAGAATCAAACAGCTTATTCCATGACAAGCTGTATGGCGATGGTCTATCTGAATTAAACTAAGTTTCTGAAATTAACTCAGTATAATCGTATTTTGTGCAGAAACCTTCTTTGCTATTTCATTCTTTTTTGTTTCTATATTTTTTCTTATTTCTTCCTTTCTTTAACTTTATATTTTACATCTTCCCTTACCAAATTCAAAAACATACAAATGTTGACATTTATAACAAATATTAATTCTATCACTAAAATGATTGATACTGTTAAATTTCCTTGGTCATACACCTCACAATAAACTTTAATGTTCTAGACTTAAATATAACACATAAAAACTTAATTTAAATAGTAATTAAAATCAACTATAATTATTATTTAACCAGCTATCAATTAATTAATTAAAGTTCGTAATATTTCCTTTTATTAAACCTAAATATTTAATTCCTTTAATCTGTCATTAATATAACTTACCATAGAATATAACAGCGGCAGTAGCGGTGAACAGAATTGCACCGATGATTGAAAAACCTAGCGACGTACGCCAACCGGCAGACTCGCCCAACAAACGAGCGATTATTAAAACGCCCACGATAATAATAAAACCTGTACAAAAAAATAATATATAAATATTCTCTTATAATAAATAAAGTGTATTTTTAAAATACTTAGTCTAACACGATCGATAGATGTCAAAATCCAACTTAAAAATTAAAATTTTTGAACGTAATATTTACTTTCCGGAAATTATTCTAAAGTATGATGTAAGTTTAAATTCTGGCCAAATAAATTATTATATCGTAAAAATATAAATACATATCCGTATAATTAATGTAAAAAATAATAATAATTTAAAACGAATCGCAATGAATTAAACCGCAAATAACCGCACTTTCACGCTTGATAAACATAAATATTTTTCCACTTGATGGAAAGTGAAAACGTTGATCACTGTCAACGCTTACCCAAGAATGTAAATATTATAACTAATTATTTTCGTGAAGTTATTTTTCATCTTATTATATTGATTTATAGTAAAAAATACGATCATTTGAATAATTTCTTATAATGACCCTTTGTTGGCCCATTATAGTGTTTTGACATTAAAAATGTCGGCAAAAAAAATCATCAATGTTAAATTCGATCAACCGTGAGAGGTTAAAGTAACTCAGCAGATGTGAATAATTGAAAAATTAAGCCGATTTACAACGAGGCCACGTCTGAAAGACTTGTTTAAATCAACGGGAAGCGTGGCGTAATTAAAAACCTCAGTGTCCTAAATTGGAAATCGATGTGAAATTTCACGTATGTAGAAACGAATTCAGCTAAATGAAAATACTACAAATAAACGTTGGTAAATAAAGAACAATATGTAATGAATCCTGTGAATAGAGTAAGTAATATAACTAAATGGATCATCATCAACCTATCAGACTACTGAGGAAATCTTCTCACATAGAGAAGATTTGAGTATTAATCATCATGCTTGCTCAAGACGGGTTGGCATTTCAAACTTATAATTTGAAATTATACATTTAGATGTTTTCCCTCACCGTATGTCACTTGTGTCTAAATACTCTTAGAAGGTACATATGACTCGGAAAAATCACATTGGTACTTACCAGGTTTCGAACCCGCGCACTATACAGGGTGACTGGTGAATTACTATCAATATTTAAGGAGAATACTCGGTACATGATTCTCATTCGAATTATGTAAAAAAAATAGGCACTTAATTTTTGACAAAATTTCCGTATAAATAAGTAAAGTGTTGACACGTTCCAAGTGTTCAAGTGTGGACGCGTGCGGCGACGTGCTGATACAACACTACGTCGCGACACGCGTATGTGTGAGTGTGACTGTATACCTAATCTGTAGGGTGTTCATACGATGCGTAATTAATTACATAACTTTTGGTTAACTTTACTTAGAAGTTTATTAATATTTATGTTATATTAATATTTATTTTGTCATATATGATCGTCAAATATCACGTCCTCAAATATCGATAGTAATTCACCAGTCACCCTGTATATGTACTAGAAGCGGGCCTTTAACTACTAGGCCCCCACCACTTAACTAGATGTAGTAAGTTTTATATCTTACCGGAGTAAGTTGAGTATATTAGTGCTATGTGTCGGTGATCGATGTTTGCCAGTTGATGAGAGTTTAAGGCACCCACCATTAGCCCGATTGCTATCACCGCGAACAGCTAGAAATAATCATAATTATTATACTTAGATGCAGACTAATTCTATATAAAAATTCTCACCATATAATACACTTATATTATAGTTGCCTTACTATTTCGTACTTTAACTCACACGTAAAAAGTATGGTCATATTAATGAAAAAAGAAATCCTACAGCTTTATTAAATTACTAGTTTCTATATCCAAATCTTATCATACTAAAAATATATTACGATTTACGACATAATAACTTCATAACGCGTTTATCCTCGTCGTAATTGGTAATGCTACTTGATGCGCGTTCTATAGAAACAGCTGCCGTAATGTAATGTGATTCACAATAGCCTTTGTATCAGGGACAAATTATGGGGCATCATATAATTCCCATACATCAAGGCCTATCGCTAATTAGTGCGAAAAATCAATAACTATATATACAGGGTGACTGGTGAATTACTATCAATATTTAAGGAGAATACTCGGTACATGATTCTCATTCGAATTATGTAAAAAAAATAGGCACTTAATTTTTGACCAAATTTCCGTATAAATAAATAAAGGGTGGACACGTTCCAAGTGTTCTAAGTGTGGACGCGTGCGGCGGCGTGCTGATACAACACCACGCCGCCGCACGCGTGTGTGTGTGTGTGTGTGTATACCTAATCTGTAGGGTGTTCACACGATGCGTAATTAATTACATAACTTTTGGTTAACTTTACTTAGAAGTTTATTAATATTTATGTTATATTAATTTTTATTTTGTTATAATATATGATCGTCAAATATCACGTCCTCAAGTATCGATATTAATTCACCAGTCACCCTGTATATATACTAGAAATAACCAGAGTATTGTTATACTTTATGTTTTCGAATTACGTATGTTTTAACAGAATACGTATTCGTATTCTCTGTAATAGAATACTATAATAGATAAGTATTTTATAAATACATAGTGAAATTATAATATTTTTTAAATTATAGCCGATGGTAAATTTTAACATAGAATTTATTTATTATATTAATGTACAAATTAAAATCCTCTCCATGGACTTTTCTTTAATCAAGGAATACTATAAAGTAATAAAATTGTATATTTGTCTATTATATAACTTCTTATATTAATTTAATTTTGTTTTTAATATGTTAAGTGTGAATGGATTATTTATCATGACTGTTTATTCAATATTTACATATATGAAACTCGTGGTACTGTTTCGCTTACTTTCAAATCACTATATCCTTTAATCATGAGTGTTGTAATATCATTAATTACCGGTTAATTCTGAGTAAAAGGAATATTCGTTAAATGCTAAACATTTATTTCCTCTTGGATTTATTTAATGTATGTTTCTATGAACAATATTTTATATATTTTTTCTTTTCATGCAATTAAAGTATATATCGAATTAGGTCCTAAAACCGTACTCTTCCATGTTAGACCAATCTGACCAAGGCCTTAGAAATATCTATCAATTTATAACTACTTATGTTTTTTGAATTCTTATATTGGCTTTACTACTATACTTATCCTAGGTTTGTATTGTTGTACTACATAAAGAATTTTCAGGTCTTTTTCATAAACCTACCTCTTTGCTATATTTACGTAGGTTTATAAGTAAGAAAATCGTAATAGTTTCGAATTCAGTGTGCAACGTGTGGTAGGTTTATAAAACTCCTTTTTTCTAAGAGATTTGTTCAAAAATATAATATGCAACATGTATATAGAGCTCTTAAAATTAAAAAAATCTTTCTATATAGTCGTGATTTGATCACCCTGTATATTCAAATCCACTCACCAATTCCACAATCCTGAGTCCAATACACCAGTGTTGCTTCAAGACAGCTGTTCTTCCATCATCGCTGGTGCTCCCCTCCTCTTTCTTGGCCTGAGCCTCAGATTCTCTATCGCCTGCCGACATGGCCCACACTACACGAGCCCCGCCCCCGTACTCCGAAACCTGGAAGGAGGTTTATTAGTATACAACCTTTTTGGTTCGTCTGGAAGAACTCTTTTGATAAATGCAACTTATTTTTTTATCTCTATAACACTGGCAATGAAGAAAATTTTACTAAAAAATAATCGTTTGAAGGATTTTTTGTAATAATATATTTGTCATTGACACGGAATAATGATGATTGTTTCATTCATTCTGATAATTTTGTTATTTGCAGTTAAAATAGAATTAATTTTGTTGTAAAACCTTTTTTCGTAATATTAAAATAAATAAAAAAAATATAACTTTACGTATTCCTCATATTTAAAGAAAGGGAAGAATTTACGCAAAATTATAATAGATACAGTTACACGTCTGCGACACTTTATTCATATTAAATAAGTGTATGGTAATTTATTAGGAAAATCGAAAAAGCTACATAGTTTTAAACTTCTTAGATGTCATTCTATTTTTTCATACCTACAAGTTTTTTTTATAAAAAAAATATAAGATCGTCAATATTATGACAAGACATGATGAAAATTAAAAGAATTAATGTAATACACAATAAGATAATAAAATTATTCTGATTGAGATTTCACGTCTGTTCATGAAAATTCATTTTCATCTAATAATTAAGATGCGTTAGGAACAAAAAAAATTAATTAAAACCGTTTTACATGAACGCATCGAAAGCCGTCCGTTGGTACGGAACGCACGCACGCTTTCCAATACTATATTTACAAATATAACTTTCAAATACATTACTGAATTAAATACTATTATAATTTACTATAAGAAAAATATATTTATTCCGTTCACACACGATAATATTAAACAGTGAATGACAACAACTGGAGTATCATGAAAAAAGTTGTTCTTTTTTGTTGCACGAATAATTTTGAAAAAAAATACTCATAATTATATAAAAAAATAATAAATTTATTTATTCATACCGTTAATTCAAAATATTTCCAACGGAATTCAAAACACAGTCACTAAATCACAATACAATAATTCCAAGTTCCCGCGCGTTCTTCACAGTAACTGTCACACGACTGTACCGCGTCAAGTCTGAAGCACAATCAGACGACCAACGCCGGGGTCGCGTATATATCAACAAAATTACACCCGCACTTTTGTTAATATTACTATTATACTGAAATACTTAAAGCTATCGTAATAGTACATAGAGTAAGCTAAAAGGCTTACTGTTAGTAAGATCTTTTAAGACTTAGATATTTCTTGAATGTATGGAAATTAAAACAAATTTTGTATTGAAATATCAAAAAAATTATCGTAAATAGTAAACAGTACAGATAAAGTAAGCTAAAGGAACCCTTCTTTTATTAAAGCTTAAGATATTCTTCGAATTAATTAAAATTTTCCATAGATATAATTCGTATAGTAAATTATTAGAAGCATAGAAGTTTTGCTGTATTAACTTTTTTAAGTCCTTAAATTATTATCAGTGGAATAGATTTTTTCTTAAGAATGAAAGAATGAATGACTAATATTTAAAAATGAAATCAATTCAGTGTTGTCCTTTTTATCATCTGTACACGCTCTAGTTAATATTATTTTGACATTTATCTAGTCATAGAATTGTCATAATTTATTTTGTACTTTACGATTCTTATCCAATTTATCTGATTATAAAATAAAATATATTATTACGTACTACGAATTAATTTTGTTAATTATATTATACTAGCTTTCCGCCCGCAGCTTCGCCCGCGTGGAGTTCGGTTATATCGCGTTTCCAAGAGAATCTTTCAATAGTCTGGGATAAAACTATCCTATGTTCTTCCTCAAGGTCAACTCTATGTCTGTACCAAATTTCATTAAAATCAGTTCTGTGGTTTAGGCGTGAATGCGTAAAAGACAGACAGTGTTACTTTCGCATTTATAATATTAGTAGGGATTTAATACAGTGACATGTCTTTAAAAAGATTTAGATTACAGTCGCTCATTTCTTCGAGTCCAAATGTTACAAGTATTGATTAGACTAGTAATCATCTAGAGATCTTTTTATTCATTTACATTTTTTGTCCACTTTTGTTATATTCTGTTGACTCGTGCGTTAAGGCTATATCGGGAATTGAGAAAAAAATACTTCTCAATGTCAAATGTGACTATATTAAATAATTATTTTTTTATATTTGTAATCTTATTATATGGGTATAATAAATATTATTTATAATAATGTTGTATTAAAGAAACAATTTGCTAAAATGTTTTTAATGAAGTTACTATTTTCCTTAGAGAATCCATATACTGTTAGTGTAAAAACAAATATTATTATCATTACAATTAAGTACAAAAATACCGTTAAATTTTAATTTAAAAATCGATAAAATTATGCACCGTCACTAAGAAAGCTGTAATGATCCAATATTGCATTGCAGTTTACAAATAATTCTCCTATATTCCTTTACAAAGTTACATTTCTACTATTTTCCACTCAATCGCCTCTGACAGCCGAGTCAATGTTAGTTTCGTGTATTGAGAAGCCACTTTCTATATTTTCCGGTCTACATGTACCGCATAGCTTTATAGCACGCATCACGACTGACAAGTCACAAACATACATACATACATACTGTCACACTATTATCATATAAGCATATTACGATTCCATTGCGAATGGAGCCTTTGAAAAAATAAACATACATTTAGTAAAAATTACATAGTATTGTCATTTTTTTTATCGATAAAAAAACGAATATTTTTCATGCGTCATTTTTATTTTGAATTTGCTAATAAAGTTTAATTATTATTTAATATAAGTTTAATAAGTTATGACTAATGAGACGTAATTAATAAATCCCCATATCCTTCAATGAATTCTATTATAATTCCTGTTGTTTTCCTATGTTTGATGAATAAACTGAATCTTCTCGTGTGTCATTTCAGAATTACTCACAGTACGATAATTGTATTAGTATTATTATCGTACGTTTTCTACTTAGTTGTTTATACTTTGAAATTTAAATGAAACTAATATTTTTGGGATATACTACGCTTGCTTTACTTTTGTCAAGAACTACATACTCCCGACGTTTCGGTTACTTTTCAGCAACCGTGATCACGTGCAGACGAGATGTGAATGTCTTAGATCTCATTAAAATATGTGAAAATTGTTATTGTTAGCGTATTCTTCTTCTACCTGGCAATTTCCCAGCTTTTGGCCAGGGTCTGGCTTATTGTGAATAGTTTTGTCTAATTGTTTTTACGACCGGCCGCCTGCCCGACATCAACCCTCTTTGGGAATGCATTAATCTGTGATGTCTAAATACTCTTAGAAAGTACATATGACTCAAAAAAATCACATTGGTACTTGCCAGGATCGAACCCGCGCCCTCGTGCATGAGAGTGCCCTGTTAACCACTAGGCCACCACTGACTGTTAGCGTATTATATATGTATATTTAAATAGTACATAATCTTTATGATTTTCATTTCACGTATGTATGTGATCTAGGTTATATATTGAACTTTTGAACTTCGTTATAAACATGCGTTACATTAATAACTCTACAAATACAACGCACGTTTTATAAACGAGCGTGAAAAATTTACACGAATGATACGTTATAGTCACGAACGCGTTTTCGAAATATGGTTGTATAAAACAAAATACGAGCTATAAAAAAATGCTTATAATGAGATCGCAAGAAAAACAAAGAAAATTTACTAAAAATCTATTAATTACGAAAATATTATCACAAAATTAAGTTTATTTTATATAGTCGATAAAAATAAACATATATTAAAAGCATTTTGTTACTATAGCTGCAAGAATTGATCGTAGTATTAATCCAGGCGCCATTCCGTCGCCGGTATTGGCGCCAAACTTCTTAGGGATGGGGTGCGTTCAGTAAGGTCGTTGTCTGACCCGCTTTCGTATTTTCCTCGTACACAAAGGAGGTTTTATGCAGTTGGATAAATGCTGTTTAGTTTAGACGCAATAATCTATTGGATGATTATTTTAATTATTGTGGTAATAATATTGTTTTAGTCAGTTTTGATTACTGAAAATTATAACTTTTTTTTAATATAAAACGAATACATGACAAAAAATAATTGTATTTCTCGTAATATTATTGCTGTACAATATTGAATAGTTTAACTGTAACAATGTTTTAAGTACATCATAAACTCACGATCATATGCTAATGCCCAAGTACTTTGTCCTATGCGCGTGCGCATATTTGGACTACAGTACTGTTAGACGTTTACCGTCTCTGTTGGATAACTGTTATTAAGGCTTAAAAATATGTATTGTTATAATCTTTCAATGTAAATAATATAATTATAGATAAAGAATTGATTTTTTTGTGAGGTTCTGTACCTATATTATTTTCGTTTAAAAAAATATAGTACTGTAATAATGATACAATTAGCTCTCATGTTTCTTACTATTTATGTTTTTTCTTCTCTACAAATTAATCCATATACTTGCACTTAAAGGAATATCAAACAACAATAATAGCTACAAATAAATATATTTCGGTAGAACAATAGTTCTCATTATTTTAACCTAAACTAATTAATAAAAATATCAATCCTTTACTCCACTACGGTTAATATATAAAATGTAAAGATATTTCAATTTCCTGTAATCAATATAAGCTGTATTACGATCTGTTACATCAACAATACTCTACAGATTGAAGCCACTGGGGCGGGAAACGTTCGACACATTTCGCTATGCCCTGGTTTTAAATTAATTGTATTACTGCAGTTATACGACCACGGTACAGACGCTAGTGTAAATAGTGTACATTCAAAGGACGATATGAACTGAAATAAACTACTAAAGTATTCAAAGGAAATTCACAAAAATATTGGTTTGTTTTTGTCGAGAATATATTTGAAATCAAACATAATTTATGTAGTAAGTTTAGTTGTCTTTTTTGCAAAATATACATGAAAATCGTCATATCTACAAACAAAATATTACTTCATAACCAGCCAAGAAAAAAGCTTTCGAAAATTAAATATTACACGGTATTTAAATTTATTCTTGAAATTAAATTATTAGAGGTACTTACGTTATCTGTGAGCGGAGCAATTTTGACAGCAATTATATCAAATTGCAGCAAAAAATTCTTGGATCTGGGCGATATGGTCACCAGACTCCCTGAGTAAAGACACTCCAGCTTAAACTTCACTATTATCCAATTCAACCAATCCGACGACAATTAAACGATCTACAAATAATTCTTTAATTATACCAACCACTAGAGGCTATCAGAACTCATTACTCACAAATATATTATGGTGTTTGTTTGAAAAATAACATAAGTGTCATGCAATAATTCTAAATAGAAGAAAATTTCATTAGTATTTGTGGACTTCAATAGTAAAAATAGCAAAAATTTCCAGTATAAGAAACGTGTTTTGGCCTTCAAAAATTATATAACTTACTGGTTTAATGAACACAAATATTTTTTGTTTAGTCCAGGTGAGGTTTCTTAGAAATCGTGATATCGACTAACTGATGGCAGGACCACTGGGTACCACATAGGATATGGTATTTAACATTTGACCCTGCTAATATGACACATAGGTCTTGACCTCGGCTTCTGGTCAAACAGTTCCCATCGCTGACTATTTCTTCTATTTAATATACATAAGTCATATAAAAGACCACTATATGAAGGAAATAGGAAAGATAAAATGAATAAAAAAATGTTTCAATTTAAATAAATTTAATTAAAATAAAATAAACAGCATATAAAAACATCAAAACGTGTTGCAATACAGAAATCTCTATTTACAACGAGGTGGGAATGTGAAAAAAAAATGTAAGGAAGAAAATAACACATTCAAATATATGAATAACGTAATATTATAAATTTAATTTAAAAATACTTTCTATTAAGACCTTATTACAAAGACTTAGAAATATTTGATTCATCTGATTATATCTAATTACATTTCTTTCGTAAAGTGTATAACAGATAATGCGGTGTCAAGAAGGTAGACGGCCCCTTGAATCACGCATAGAGCACCAACTGCCAGGCCGACCTGCAAAAATACGGCATTGTTTGTTCAAACCAATTCATTTCAATTGCCAAAAAGGAACATCGATTTTCGTATAACAAAAAATAGATATAAAGCGTGCTCAAAAGAAATTAAACCATATTCTCAAATTTATGGGCCTTGTTTGCTGAAAGTGTTCACAGAAGGATATAAAACTGAATACAGATTCCTAGCTTCAAAAATCTTTCAAACATGGTTACGTTGATACCTGTTTTTCTGCAAATACGAATTGGAATTGATGCTCTCCCTGGTAACCGCCCCAGTAATGCAACGCCACAGCCCCCACGGCTATCCACAGGAACACTCCAATGAAGTTCATCACAATTTCTGACATAGCTCTGTTGTAGGAAAGACATTAATATTATTTATAACAAGACAAAAGAAGTATAGAAATATGAAATCAAAAAGGCAACATTATGTCTGAGGATACGTCAGAAAGAAAATGCATAATCTATTAGCGTCTATAACAACCATTTTGGACAATATAAAGTGCCAAGTTTAAAGATTTTCTCCTACAAAAAATCTATGGTGTATGCCACAGCATATAAAAACAAATAGTTACAAAATTAGTGACCATTTAAAAATAAAACCCGGACGTTAATCATTATTCAAATATTGGTCACGGCGGAGAATTGAACCCGATATCCGTCGATTCATGTTCAAGCATTGCAACCGCTACGGTAGGCAGCTGTGAGTGTTACCAACAAATAGACGAAAAATATCAATTATTATCATTCTATAGAAATAAAAATTGATTCTAACGAGTGCCAACACAGACAGAATTTAGTATAACCATCTTTATTTGGTCTCCCAAAAATAAAGAAGTGTGATAAATATGGTTCTTGCGATACTCAAAAAAACCGCGTCAGCATTAGCCCAAGTTGCAAAGAAGTTTTTTCATCAGAGTTACTGTTCAATGTATAATAAGTAGATATAAGTAGCAACCTTTTATGTTCAGTCGTCCCAAATAAGAATGTGACCACTTGTACGAGAGTGTAGATTAGGTAACCCACGATGACTCCAGACGCGACTATCTCTGCGTCAGGGTTCTTCTCTTCATTGAGGTTCCAGGTTCCACCAACGCCAAGAAACTCGCCATTGTAACCAGTTCGATACAGAACTAGAATCACTATGTTCAAGACCTGGAAAAAAATAATAAATATCATCCTCAGTAGATATATCAGAGCCCTCTGCTGAGCAAAGGCCTCTTCTTATATGGAGAAGGTTTGAGCATTAATCACCACGCTTGCTCAAGACGGGTTGGTGATTTCAAACTTATCATTAGAAATTATAAGCTTCCTTGCGATGTTTTTTTCATCGTCTCTCAGTGATGTCTAAATACTCTTAGAAAGTACATACGACTGAAAAGTCAAATTGGTATTTGCCAGGTTTCGAACCCGCGCCCTGATACATGAGAAGCGGGCTTTTAATCTCTAGGCCACCACTAATAATAAATATAATATATATTTTTGTTTAAAATTACATACTAATTTAAAGGAATTTCAAAATAATCTACAATATACATAACATTTATATACGATCATATATGTATATAATGCACCTATTTAAAATTAAACTACACAAGATTTATCTCATATTAACATTGTTTATTTCTCAACATATCTTAACATCGGAAGTATGTACTCAAATACTATTAACAAGATAACGAACTGAATCACCTGTTTCTAAATAACGAATTTGTTACCGTTCTTATCAAATGACCTCATAGGAATAATATTTTGTGTGTATTTTAATCTCTGTACAATATATTTGGATGTTTCGAAATTTATTTTAAATACTAACGAATGTTACCTTATTCCAGCCACAAATATGCTTAAGTATTACTAGCTACCTTTTATCATTTATAATTATAACATATATTTATAATATTCGTACTTATATTGTTAATATTTCATTAACAAACAAAGTCACTGTTTACAACTGATACTTAATTAAACTTGCCAAATATAACTTAATGTCATCCATTTTAATGCTTCCTAATTGCTCATTGTTCATTGATAAAACAAAATAGGTATGTCGTACAATCTCAACCTTGGTCGTTTAGAAATTGCTACACGATCAAAACTATAAAATATTTTATAATACCAATATGATTAAAAAAATAAGGCGACTCTTAAGTTAAAAATATTCTATTAACTATTTAGAAATATGGTTATTGATACAAAATAATGTTAAATAACTTGCAACTTATACAAAAAATAAAAGTATATAATGACTTCAAGTAATAATTGAAATATTTCCTTCGTCCCATTTTCTTCTTCACACAAACTACAACCATACCTAAAGTAAAAAAGAATATTAATACTAATTATGCAAGAATTTATTTCGAATAAAAAAAAAACAAAAAGGAAATAAATACATCATAATTGAAAGCTTCATCCGTTTAGAAATCATTAAAAAAATCAACTTATCTTGTCCTGACCTACGGCATAGACAATGTTAATAATTCCTTCAATATATCTTCCATTAATTGCTGCCGACGTCTGACTAATGCGGGGTCAAATGGCGGCTAATCTAATTATTATGAATGTCATGTTATACTATTCGTATTTATTTGCATTATTAATATATGTATGAATCATGAATTATAATAAAATTATTAAATCATCCAGAGAAATATGTCAATTTTATATTATTCCCATTCCATTCCGATCCAATATACCTATAATATTAATTTTCTTTTAATATTGTAAATCATTGAAAGAATAATAATTGTGAAACTTTTTTTATCTGTTCATATGACAATATATTCAATTTGCCAGTGTTAAGGATGTCATATGTTATGTCAAATTAGAGAAACTAACAGATAAACTAAAATAATAGTATTAAAAGAACATCAAAATAAAACCTTTTTGGTTTTAAATCTATTTATTTAATATTAATTATCTCCTATTAAATTGCTATAAACATAACTAATTTTCTAATAGATTTCACTGGCTACGAATCATTTGATCATAATTTATTTTACAAGTAAAAATTGCTTTAAACCTTGGTCGAGTGAAACTTAATCGATTAGCTGTCCATTTAGTAATCAATGAGGGTAGAATTTTAATTATATAAAAAAAATATATAAATCATTGTATCATTAATTGCTGCTAATTTTGTTTCGTAAAACTACTACAATTATGTTTTTTTCAACGTCAATATTATGATGAGTTTTGGCGGCATTTCTTGGCGGGAAATTTACGTTTTTAATCTGTGGCCGGTGTCCGTTTCCGTACAATACTCCGTGAGATGTAACACAAGCCATAAACAGGTTTAATTGTCTCCGACAGGAAGCCGGGATCAAACAATAATGAACATTGATTACTCCGTCCAATCAAAGCGAGACAGATGTTGTTCATTAGAACTTACTCCATAACTCCAATATTAACAATACATACATACATACTTTCATAATATAAGTAAAATCTTAATTAATATTTAATTTTGTAATAAATTCTGATTTAATTATCAAAATCAATCATACAGTTTTTATTTTTAATTGAACTATTAAACAATGATTGTAGAGTATACCGAAGTAGATTATATTGTTTTCTTAAATATTTCATACGAATTAGGAATTAATAAAATAATTGTTATATCACTTCAAAGCTACTTAAGAGTTATAAATAACATATTTTTCTATGTTTTATGTCAATTTAATATTAAAAATACGACAAATGGAGTCTCTAAAGAAATTATTACTGGCTAGTTACATGCATATGTATAAAAAAACATTGCGAGTCAGTGTAAGCATTGTTAACGCTTCATCGTTCGTCTGAATACTGATAATAATCATAATTTTTTATTAATTATATTTTTTTATTTTAAAATGACTTCAATACTATCTTTCAATAAACACGTTTAGTAATGAATTTGACAACACAAATCTTTCTTAAGTCGGCGTTGTAACGGCTGAATATGGGTTTATATAAACATGTGATAAAGTAATCCAGATGATTTTTTAGACTCAATTTTTTTTAATTCTATGACTGATCAGACTGACAGTCAGCAAATCAAAAGAATTATTTCTGTTTATAAGTTTCGTTTTTGAACGTAACGACACATTTGAACATCAGTCGATTTTACTGACGCTTTAAAAATATACCCCATTTCTTTGGCAAAATTTTATGAAGTTTACTGTACTAAAATATTATATATGTTTGTTACTTATTTTTTGGTGTTCGTAAACCTAGTTTTATCAACTCATTTCTTCATATAACTTGAGTCTGATGAGCAAAGAGTATAAATATCTCATAATCGTTATTAACGTGGGAAGAATTTTTTATTGCAAATTCATAATTAAAAATCCAAGTTTACACCAATAGATTACAGAATAAAAACTCTATTTATGTCAAATAAGAAACATAATAAATTCATACAGTGTATTGTAAAATTTAAAAGATTAATGTCATTTACAATATTAATCTTAAGACATATGATAGCTTCCTCCTTATATTTGAGCAGATGTTTCTTAAAAATGTCCCATTTCTTATTTAATTTGTAGCCCACAAGTAAATTACGAACCTTAAAATTTAAATAGTCCCTCGCTTCGTTAAATACCTATGAAAGTTTGCGACTGAGTAATGCCCTTTCTGTTATCGGATAAGATAAAAGTTTTGCAATATTTAAAAAATAACTAAATTACTATTAACTCGTAACTTGTAACCCACTTATAATAACGATTTATTTTACATCAATAAATTTAAAAATGGCGATGAATATGTATTGTTTAGGATACAATTTAGTTCTTTGATAGCGTCGCTAATTCCACGAGGTGTGGTTTTTATCAGGGCGATACGGAATGAGGTCGGGGGCCCTTTATTATGAATCAGCTAAAGAATTTATTATATGCAGTGACAAACATGAAGCAATATGCCATTTTTACATAGAAATCCTTGCTTTCTTTACAAAGAGATAGAATAAAGTTCATATATTGAAAATTTTAATATAGATTTTTGACATTTGACAGAGTTACAGTCGATTGATTTTGTCTTGTCATTTATTCTATTGTCTGTATATAAAAAATCGATTTGACATTTGTCGATACCGTTCTTTAAAGCTGGTTAAGGACTTTAATAATATGTTCGTTCTAAAAATACTTCACCATATTTTTTTATACACCTTTAACAGAAGTACGATATAAAACTGATTTTTTAAATCTAAATTTGTAATTTGTAATATTGAAACAATTTTAAACAATAATAAGGAGATATTGTAATTGTTAAATATTGCGATTGCAAGCTATTCGATATATTTTTTTTATCTGAATAATCATTTGTATTAAATTACATTACTTACAATTTTGAATACTTTGACCACAATGGTCGCTATCGTTTGTACGGAAACCATTATCACTCACTTGTTCTTTTCACTCAAATCTATTAACTTTCTTAGTTAGTTTCACTCTTTTGTTTTTGTCCGTTTTTGTTAGCAGGTGAGTCGTCACTGGATGATTTCATTATCAGCTATACGTTATCAGTGACTGTTGCTATCTTATCTAGTTCAAAGAATTAGTAGGACAGGTGCTCGTGCTATTATTTTAGTAATTTTGAATGAGTTCTTCCATGCGATATTGAATTAAACACGTATAAATGACGTACACGTAACAAATGCTTAATTTTGCTCCATAACAAATGTAATGTAAATCTCAAATTCGAATATACAACTGTATATTTACGTAAAAATAATTGAATGGACCAACAATTCCATAACTAAACTATTTTCTTATCAGGAATAAATATTTCTACGACCTATTCAGTAGGAAGAAAGGGATAGTTCATTGCTGACATTACCATCATTAAAAGTTTCCTTCATCACCTTCCAGGATCTTGGCTTAGACATTACTGATGAACAGATCAAAGAATTGGAATCGGCAGTCCACGATATCGACTTCCCTTCAGCCGCTGAACATGAGAAGAAGGTCCGTCATGACGTCATGGCGCACGTCCACACCCTCGCTGAACGGTGCCCCTTAGCGGCTCCTATCATACACCTAGGAGCCACCTCATGCTATGTTGGTGATAATACCGATTTGATAGTACTAAAACACGGCCTGGACTTACTCCTGCCCAGGCTCGCTGCTGTTATAAGCCAATTATCGAAATTCTCCGATGAGTACAAGTAAGTTTAAATATTGATTATGTTTTTCATTAGTGTTCTAGTTTATAGTTCTTATATAGGAATCAATTAATTTGATCTTAAATTTCTTCTATGACAAATGTTCTTTTAGTGATATGCAAATGATTTGTATATTTCTTAATTTCAGATCACTTCCAATTTTGGGATTCACCCATTTACAACCAGCTCAGTTAACAACTGTTGGTAAGAGAGCGTCGTTGTGGCTTAGCGACCTTCTCATGGACGAGCGTGCATTGTCTCGAGCAAGAGAAGATTTAAGATTCAGAGGCGTTAAAGGCACTACAGGAACTCAAGCTTCTTTCTTACAACTGTTTAAAGGTGATAGCAGCAAGGTTAGAGCTCTGGATAAGAGAGTCGCAGAACTCGCTGGGTTTGATAAACGTTATCTTGTGACCGGTCAGACGTATTCAAGGAAGGTGGATTTGGAAGTTATAGCGGCGTTATCTGGATTAGGAGCCACTGTACATAAAATGTGTTCTGACATTCGTATTCTGGCTTCCCGTAAAGAGTTAGAAGAACCGTTTGAGACTTCCCAAATAGGATCCAGCGCGATGCCTTACAAAAGAAATCCTATGAGGTCCGAACGTTGCTGTGCCCTCGCTCGGCACTTGATATCGCTTCATGCGAATGCTGCTAACACCCACGCCGTTCAATGGATGGAACGTACTTTAGATGACTCTGCTAATCGACGCATCACTTTAGCTGAAGCATTTTTGACTGCCGACGCGACATTACTTACTCTCCTTAACATCTGTCAAGGGCTGGTTGTGTACCCGAAAGTAATTGCTCGTTATATCGCACAGGAGCTGCCTTTCATGGCAACAGAAAATATTATAATGGCAATGGTGCAATCTGGTGGTGATCGACAGATTTGTCATGAGAAAATAAGAGTTCTGTCCCACGAGGCCGGAGCGGTAGTTAAACAGGAAGGAAAAGATAATGATTTAATAGATCGCATCAAGAATGATAAATATTTTGCTCCCATCATACCGCAGCTTGACAAAATATTGGACGCATCTACTTTTATTGGTCGAGCCCCTGAGCAAGTCACGGAGTTCTTAGAAGAAGAAGTATACCCAGTTCTTGCAAAGTACAAGAACTCATTACGCGAAGTCGAGAAACCAGTTACTTTAAATATATAAAAATGACAAATATTCTGTTAAATATTATGTTTGGTAAATAAAATGAAACGATTTCATGAATAAATGATATATTTACATTACAGCGTTTATATAAAAAAATAAAATGACTTCACAACTCCACAAACATTTTAGCCTACTGAACTAGATAATGGTAACTTTTGATTAATCAATGAAAAAAATTACAATGCCATAATAATAGCACAAGCATCAAAAATAAAATGAGTAATAAATAACTATGCGTTAAAATTAAAACAATGAAACAAATAAATAAGCCTAGAACATTAAAAGAGAGACTGATCTTAACAGTTACACTTGAATTACAAAATAGCAGATTGTAGGATTTACGTGATCACATCATATCACACTTTGATGGCACGTTGGACGAGATTCTTACATAATCATGATATCATTCAAAGAGCGTTTGTGAGAAGGGTGTCTCCTTGACAGGCGGGTCCTTGACTCGGCCAGTTACAAGCTCCTATGTTAGGGTCGAAGCTCAGTTGAACGGGGCAGTTGAAGACGTGAAGCGTAAATCTTTGTTTAGTACAGTCCCATCTGCAGGCGTAGAATTTGTTACATTGTTTCGGATGACGGAACAACCCAGCTCGCTGACAATCTATAGATCCCTGTAAAGTTTCATCCCTGTCTCTCCAACCGCCTGGTCCATAACGATCAAACGATGGAGAATTAACTGCAGATTCGATAGATTCCGCTGCCTTGGGAATGCTTGGGGCTACTTGTTTATTTAATACAACAGTTTTATAAGTAGGCGCCTCAGTGACTAATTTTACTCTTGGTCTTATTCTTACTACTCGTTCAGTTGTTGAAACAACGGGTACGCTTGATACGTAACTTTGTGAATTATCTTTGCCAACGGCATTTACCACTACATTATCGTTACTAGCCTCTTGGTAGTCTTGATAGTATGAATCATCGGGGACTATAATTGGATTGAAAGTCGATACTACTGGCGATGCTGTCGTCACAGTATTCAATAATGGAACCGTAGTTACTCGTGCTGACTTCTGTTTTAGTTTATAATTGCCGAGATCCCCTCGTCTACTTTCGTAACTATTGTCGTAATCAACGTCCTCTTCTTGAATATTCGGTCTTTTGCCCTTAAGAATCAATATAGGAGATTGACAACTACAAACAGCGCCCAATTTTTTCACAAGAAGAGGATTAAAATCATTTATTTTGGTGACGATCGCTACCTTTGGCTTAACTCTTCGTATTGGTACTCTTGCGCTTGTGACTTCCACTTGTTGTTGAACTGGAAGCACAGTCGAGTAGGTGCCATCATGAGATACTTCAATAGGCTCAACCTCACTATACGATGCTGGAGAACTTAAACCAGCATCAGTACCAACGGCACCAAATCCTAATAATTGTGCTTTAGCATTTTCTACGACAACATTTTGTTTTCTTATAGGTGCTGTCGTTGTGGAAACAATTATTTGGGAATTATCATATGATTTTTCTTGATAAGGATTTAGTCTTATCTTTGGAGCAGCTGTGCTACTGTATGCTGAGGTCTCCACTAAGCCTTGCCAGATATTTTCTGATGGTGGCAGGTATTCCGGCGCCTGATACGCTGTTGTTGACTCTACGTATACCGGTGTAGTAGAAGAAGATGGCACTCTAAAATATTTAGGTTTTGTCCTTCTTATTGTGGTAGTAACTTCCGGTGTTTCAGTTGTATATGTGAACGTTGCTGTCTTTAGAGGTAAGTAAGAGTTATCAGTAGTAGATATATATGGCCGAGCCGTAGTCGACACCAAGCCAGCGTCAGGTCCAACAGTTCCAAAACCAAGTAAATTTGACTTCGCCGTTTCAACTACAATGTTCTGTTTTCTACCTGTCACACCTGTTATAATGGGCGCTTCAGTTGAGACTGAATAATCTTGATACGTGCTATATCCTTTATAGGATTCATCCTCATCGTTGTAACCAAATCTTTGGAAAGTAGCCACGCGTGATGCTGTACTTTCTACAGGTGATGAGTATTCGAGATTATCGGTAGATTTAACGACTGACTGGTAGCTATTTTCTACTGGTGGTAAATATTCATCGGCGCGGAATTTGGGTTCAGTCGCAGGAGGCAGGTATTCTGGAGCATTGGTTGTTGTAGAATATGTGCGTGACCGGTATGTAGATGAAACAGCGGGTCTTACAGTAGACGGTACTGGTGGCAAATATTCTTCAGCCTTATACTCCACTTGTACTTCAGGAGATTGGTAATTATTTTGAGTATATTCATAATTATTACTTGTTGTACTGGCCTTACTATTTGAATATTGACCTTGATATTGTTGAGAGTAGTCCACAGGTTGATAGTCGTATTGATCTTGAGAATAAACTATCGAACTCTGCTGTTTCACGGTTGGCGGGGAGACAGTTGATACAGTGTATGTTTGTGATATTTCTTCCTTCGGAGGTATATACTCAGGAGCTTTGTATGCATTAACTTTCCCTTGATTTTCATATTCTGTATAGTGATCCTCATAAACGAGCGTTGAAGGGGTACTTGATACAAACACAACGTTCTTTCCAGATTCATACTGTTCATTTCCATTTGTTGCTGCTATTCCTTTTCCTTGATGGAAGTATTGGCTTGACACAACACTAGCGTCAGAATAAGTTTGGCTTTTTGATGAATCAATATTTCTTTGTATTTCAGGCTGATTATAAGTATATGCCTCTTGATTTATATAAGATTGTTGTTCTGATGTTTCGTATTGTGCGGGTCTTGTAACGTGAGTTACCTTGACTTCAGGCCTATATGTTTGAGTAAATATAGATGCTGTAGGCTTCACATAAGTAACAGGAGTAACCCTTTGAGTGTATTTCAATATTGGGTTTTCGTAAACAGACACCTCGGGTTGTTGATAAGATAAATGTATGGTAGAAATTGGAGTGGTTGAAGGAGTTACTTGTGTCTCATATTTACGAATTGTTTGTTGGCTGTATGATTGAGGTCTGTACGTTGAAGAAACAACCGATGCAGGAGTCGAGGTTTCTATTCTAGCTTGTTCTACACTAAATGTCGGTTGAGAGTATCCAACATTGATGGAAGAGCCTTCGTATGTATTAAGTTCACTTGTATCGACTTGATGAAGAGTCTGCTGACTTTGATATTGAGGGTATGTGGTTACTGTTGATTGAACTGAAAGTGTCGGCTGAGGAGTTGAATAGACTGTACTTTGTTGATCCAATGCTGCTGAGTATCCATTAGATACGAATGAGTTGGAAGAACCTCTGTTATAGTTTTGTTGACTGTATGAGTGGGAAGTGTATTTTGGAGCTTCATATGTTATTTCAGTAGATTTTGCTGTGTATTGTAGAAGGGGATTCTCGTATAAAGTTACAGGCGTTGTGGACACGAATGGGCGAGCGGTTGAGGAAACGTATTGCGTTCTGGATCTCTGTATGCTTTGAGAACTGTGACTTTGAGGAGTATACAATACTGTCGGTGCTGGTGTAGAATATTGAACTCTTGCTGCTTCTTCTAATCGTACGTTAGGTTGTTTATAGTTATAACCATTTTCATTGTCAGTATTAAAACTGATTGTTGACGGTCCTTGGTACTCGTAAGCTACTTGCGAGTGACCTTGGTTGAAAGAGTTAACTTTAGCACCGACTGTATGTACAGTTTGTTGACTGTATGCTTGTGGTTGATATGATATTTCCTGTTGAACAGCAATCGACGGTTGTGGGGTAGTGTACTGTATCACACCCTGGGGCACTTCATAGTTGACACCAATGCTAGCATCTTGGCCACTGACTTCGACATATGGAACGTGTACTTTGGATGTTTCCACTTTATGTATTGTTTGATGACTGATAGCAGATGGTGTTGGTTGAACGTAAGTGCTAACTGGTGGACCAGTTGTATAAGCCACTATTTTTCTAAATGGTGGTTCAGTTACAGGTACTGGTGTGGAATATTCAAAACCAACTGATTGAATCGTGTGAACGGTTTGTTGATTTTGTCCATAACCCTGTGGTTTTTGGGACACTACAGTCACGGCTGGAGTTGCAGTGGGGACGCTTTCAAATTTAATACTAGGTTTTTTGTATTCGTAACCTGTAAACTCTGTGTTTTCATTCGACTTGGCATTGGAGGACGAATAATCTTTACTTTCATACTGATAGTTGACACCTTGATTGTAATTAGTGACTTGTATTTGTGGAGTTACTTGTTTTACAGCTACTATGGCAGGTTGGACGTAAGTTACAGCTGGTTGAGTGAAACCGAAAACTTGTTTAATACTAGTTTTAGGCACTTCTGGAACGTATGTAGTTTTGTATGTTGTGTATGACAATGGGCTAACTGTTGTAGGGACTCCCGATGAGGTTGAAGTTGTATAACTGTAGCCGTCTAAGTTTTGACCGGCCGTACCCACGTGACTTATAGCGACTGCAGGTTGAGAAACATGATGAACCACCCCACTGTTGTATGAATGACCCTCATAGTTTCCTTGGTTCGCGTAATCAGCTTCTAGTAGTGTTGTCTTCCCAACCAATCCAACATTCACTGCTCCAGCAGTTAAAGTATGTGAAGCGCCTGTGTATACTTTGTAGTCGGTCACGTAGTTTCCTACATCTACGTTAGCGTAACTGCCTTGGTATGTATTTGTTACACTGCCTTCCCCTCCACTAACACTATGAATGTTATCACTGACCCCAAATCCTTCGTGGAATTCGATTTTTGGTTTTGGATAGTCATAACCTCCAGACCCGCTGCCGGCATATTTGCTACCGTCATACTCGTTTGATTGTGTGTATTTGAAATCTGTGTGCGCATAAGGCACGGGAGGAACACCAATATGCTCATAGGGCTTAGCGCGATCACCGGCGGGATTGTGGACGTACTTCCCAGAATTATCAGGGCGGTATTTACCATCGTCGTAACGAAGTGACGCTCTCGCAGACCCTGATATGCCACTTTGACCTTTATTATATACCGAGTAAGTGTTTACTTTGTTAGTCGGTAGTCTGTAATCATCTAAAATTAGGGAACCGCTAGTGTATTTCTCCTCTCCTTCACCATTAACGCCCCTAACAAGACCTTTGTTAATATCTTCCGCTGACACATAATTGTAGAAGACTCCGCTTGGTTCGCCTTGATAACTGAGTCCGATGTTCGAAAAGCTATCATAACTTCCTGCTCCTGCTAAACCTCCATTAACAGCTTCTTGGGATGATATGTAGTTAGCGTCTAGAACATCGTTTTTAGTCAGTCCATTTTGAATTCCTACTAGATTATTCAAAGATGCTCCGGAAACTAAACTCTGATGTGCAGCTATGTTAACTGAATCTGCTGTTTTTCCTTCAAAACCAGTAGCACCTAGAACAGAAATGTAATGAAAATAACTTCTTCAAATACTGTTGATAATACATTTTAATGATTAGCTAGTTAATTTACCACTAAGAGCGGCGCCTGAGTATCCAAATGCTTCTGCTTCGTATCGAGCAATATTCCCACAAGCTGGTACCAACCACGGCCAGTCACATTTGAGGCGAGCAGCGTCGAAACCAAGACCGAACGGGCAGCGGAACTCGTACGCTGTCAACGGCGCCTTACCATGGTCCAGACACGCGAAGAACCAACGACAATTCTCCGGATCAGCATAGTAACCTGAAGTTATACATCTCAAATGATTCGTTATAATAGACTTAAACATATTTACTAGTTTGACGATTAAAGAACACTTAAAAGTAATATTTTTCGAATGCACTACGAGACTTTAAATTGATAAAACTACATACTCATGATGTACCTTTACCATGGTTGCTGAAGAGTAGTCAACGGGAGTTTTTGATAAAAAAATAAAGTCGCGTAGTACATCCGAAGAATTTTAGTTTCATTTAAATGAATAAGACTCGCGAAAATCTTAGATATCATTATAATTAAAGTACACGTTTAATAAAGCCTACAGCACTTTTAAATTTATAAAATGGCGTTTTTAAAATCATGATCGATTTTTATTTAAAATTAAATATAAAATAGTCAGTGGTGGCCTAGTGGTTAAAAGGCCCGCCTCTAATACACGAGGGCGCGGATTCGATCCTGGCCCGGGCAAGTACCAGTGTGATATTTCCAAATCATATGTACTTTCTTAGAATATTTAAACATCACTGATTAATACTGATTCCCAAAAGAGGGTTGATGTCAAGCAGGCGGCCGGTAAAAACAATTAGCCAAAGCTATTCACAACATGTAAGGCAGACCCTGGCTATAGCCGGGAAATTGCCAGGTAGAAGAAGAAATTAGCATCATCTTACCCTCATGGTCCGGACATATGAACCGGGTAGTAGGAACTGGTGCGATCTCTGATGAGCCCGGGCAGGCGGCCGCGTGGGGCAAAGACCCGGGCCATACACACACCTCATAGCGAGCGTCGAACGCGAGGCCCGCGGGACAGTCGAATTCGAAAACCTAAACATTATTAATATATACACACAAATGAACAAATTTGAGTGCTCGTTAAATATGTAGGAATAAAATATATATCCAAACTAGATATGACGAATGTATAAACTCCCAGTATATGACAAACAAGCCATATACAAATGTATATAATTTGGACATATTTTTAGCGAGTACTCAGATTATTGAATATTTTCTTGTAAGTTTAAATATAATTTACAATCGGAGGCGTATATAAGGGGCATGGAATATATCTCAGTTTAAGCCTTTTTAGTTTTCGTTAGATACGTTTACACTCTCTCGCATATATACAAACATAGAATATATTTAAAAAAAAACATTATTAACGATTTAATTTTATCCTTAATTTTCAAAGTATTCATGAAGAATTAAAGCATCCAAGAAGACTTATTTGATCCTTTCATACTAGCTAAAAATGACGTATATATGAGTATGTATATATTTTCAATATTCTTTTCGTAGAACTATTTTGCAAGCTATAGATATTATATGAAGGTTGAAATCAGCACTAATTTCTTAATAATAATGGTGTTTTATATAATACTAAAATTCTTACTGTATATTCGGGAGATAGTTGATCGAACTTAACGCAGCGATAGAAACGAGCGCACGAACGTGGATGTACGAAGTAACCTTGGCGGGAACAAGAGAACTCAGTCCTAGTATCCTGAAACATTACATTAATAATCATAACTAACATATACATTAAAAAAAATACAAGACCATCAAAAACTAGAATATTTTTCGAAATACAGTAGGACCTCGATTATCCGGACTAATTGTTGTCGGTAGGCATCCGGATAATTGAAAGTCCGGATAATCCAATATATGAAGAAAAACGGGCTTTTTGCATATGTACATATGTGGTCTGTACCATACATATGTAATGTTAGGTGTTTATTTAAAACAACAGATACATATGAGCGAAAATCAACGTTTATTAAGAAATTGAACATAATGTACGTATAATTTGCTTACAATAATTATGTGGCGTGGCGTTATGCAAGTTCTGACATGTTAATGTTAGAATAAGGCGGCCAATCGTCCCGCATTCTGCGGGACCGTCCCGCAATTCTAGATGAAATCCCGCTTTGAAATTATTAGTAAAATAGTCAAGCAAAACGTTGTATGCGTCCCGCGTCCCTATTTTTCTACCACACTTCTACACAACACCCATACCACGGCCAACAGTGCAGGAACACAGATTACCTATAATAGCGACAAGCGTATCGCGCCCGCGATAATCTCGTTTTCTTTCTTTCTTCTGAACTCATGACACGTAAGAGAGTATTTAAACTTAATATGGGCAGTTGCGAAGATTTTTATGACATTCCCAATCCCTAACACCCCCCCACCCCTCGTCGCGATTGGCAGTCCGGATAATCGCGAATTCGGATAACCGAGGTCCGGATAATCGGGGTCCTACTGTATATCTATCTTTTGGAAAAAATTCTTAATCGAAGATTGAAATTCATAACCTGGCATAAAAATATTCTAAAGACCTTATGTCTCGCAATATCATTCCTCACCTGTGACAAATTCTATCAACAAATATTTATCATAAAGAAACAAGAGTCGTTTAATCAAAGGCTGAGTAAACTATAGCGTGATAAAAAAAATACTACAATGGAAGAAGTTCAATGAAAAGTAAGGTTTTCTTTAATACAGTTAAGCTTTTATCCATATTTTAATAACTATGTGCACGAAAAGACGATTTGTTTTATTCTAAAATGTAATTATTTGAAGATGATAAGAAGGTAAAGAAAGGTAAAAAGTATAGGTAATGAGTGTACTTACCTCTCTGATGGAATGTATGACACCGTCAGCGTCAACAACCTGAGTAATCCTGTAAGGCGACACTTGGAGCGCGTCCAGAACACGCGCGTTGTGAGGAGCGGAAAGGATCTCGTTCTCCAAAGACCTACAAACAAATTAAAGAAACATACTTAAATTGTCTATCATTCATTCTGAATCAAAAATATATCAAGAAGTTTATAAATCTATTACGAAATTCTTTATGATTGTCATTTTCTAACATTTTAGTCCAAGGCCTTTTAATTTGTTAATCGTAACTATTCTTTTATTGAACCTATTATGATACTTTTAAATGAAACTAATATTTTCGGATTTTACTTCGCGTTTTTATTTTTGATTACAAACTACATACTCCCGACGTTTCCGCTACTTTTCAGTAACCGTGATCACGGGCAGCAAGATGTGTACTCGCGAAAATCTTAGATCTTACTATTATGATACTACATATAAGAAGATACAAAAATATGAAAAATCACCTTAAAACAGCGGCCCTCGGAGCTCTGCTTTGCTGGTTCAACACTTTATTCAAAGCTGTCCTGAGAGTTGGGGCACAAGGCGAATCCAGGTCCTTCTCAGTATTGTATAAAGCCAGGCCTGCAAGACCTCTCACCCTCGCATACTTACCCTTCACATCCACTGAGGATGCGTCTTCGAATGATATCCACGTCTTATCCCTAAGTTGGAAAACAATAGATATATTACAATATATAAAAACCACAGTATCAAATTTCGGAAGATATTTCCTTGAAGAAATACAACTATACTTATCAAATAAGTCGTATCAGAATTCTTAAAAGATATCAATATTTTTAAAATGCTGCAATAACTGAAACTCGACGTGTACACTTCCTTGATATTTTACGACGTTTAATTTGCATCATATACAAATATTTTTAAGCTATAAAATTGCCATTTAATCTAATTCAACCTTAATCAATCAACCGTATTTGGGTACTGACATATCAAAATATAGATCATGACCTTTCCATGTTGAATGGTACACGTAATGTGTTCGTCTTATCAGGATTATGCAAATACAAATCCGAATTAATTTGCAACGAGGTGTTGCGAAAATACTTACTTGAAGGCGTAAGGCGCTGATAGGTCCTGGTCTCTTTCTAGGGTCCATCTGCCTTTGCGTAATTGTCTGCAGAGTTCTAATTGGTCGATTTCTTTTGGTTCGTCTTCGGTAGTTGGACTACCGGGCGTACTGAGAGTCTCGTTGAGGAGTTGGAACTTCCGAGCCGTTGCTGGTAAACTGATCACAATCTTCGAAGCGGGAACTCCTAATCCAATGACCAAATCCACTACGGAATCCTAAAGAAATTACAAACATATTAACTACTATTCAAATAATATGATATTTATAATCATACAGTATTTCTTAGTCTTGATGTAAATATGCAAGCTATATTTTAGACATGCGGACATAAAACATGCAGCTAACTGTAAAGCATCTATAAAAATTCATTTTATTATTATTGGACACATTTACAAGCGGATTCGCACAATACGTTGACTCATATTGCTTATAATATAATAATTAATTTTATATATTATAACGTTGTTATCATAACATGTCCAATTTGACGCCTACGTAAATCATATAGTATGATTCTGTCTCTACAATAACATGATTTGCATAGGTTTTAGCATTTAGGCGAAGGCAGTTCGGTCTATCATGGAGTGATTCAATCTACTCAGCCTTTGTAGTGATGTTGTCAAGTATATCTAGATTAAATAAAAACAAACTGAGCAGATTACTATTTCAAAAAGATCCACCTGCTAACTGACCTAGATTTAAGAAAATTGAGCAATCACTCGACACACCTTAGTGCGTAAGAAATAAGGACGGAGATTGCTTGAATATTTATTATCTAAAATTTTTCTTGGATTACCAGTTTGCCTTCGTACCAGTTCTATATGACTAGAGCGGTTAGTCGGTGAAATAGAAATTATACCAACAAAGTAATAGTTATTTCATGCAAAATTATCATCATAATGTAAATAGGTGTGTAATATTACACTATATGTATTCAAAATAAACATTCTATTTCAAAACTGAGCGATCCTTATAAAAAATATTTAAACTTGGATTTCCTTACACAGCTTAAGGAAAACTTTTCTACTGGAATACATGCCAATTAATTTAGTTATTTTGTGGCTTTACACTTAAGGAAAGGCTGTAAATACTTCGGATTAACTAAAATGATGCAAAGAACTTATTTATTATTGAGTAATATTATAATATTTTCTTTTTTCGTGTATTTCCACTTACAGTGTTCATCATGTCCCATAATCCGCTGAGTCTACTAGGATGGTAAGTCATCTTCTTCACCAGACCCAGAGCATGTGTTTGCACAGTCATGAGGTCAACCTTCTTCATTAAGACCCTGAGGTCGTAATATTTGGCAAGGAGTTCTGGGTGTGAAGGTAGCGCCAAGAACAATGGCCCACCCCCCGCTGCGTTAAGGGCAGCTCGGGCTGATTCCACCATTTCCAGGACTTTGGTCTTATTGAAGATTTTGTGGGCATCGTATATTTCCAAACCTTGCACGTTCTTAGATTTCAGGAATTCATTTAGATCCTGGAAAAAAATTGATTTAAATTTTAATATGTATCAACATATTTAGTGTCATTTTTGCAAGACATAATATGATGTTTAAATTTAACTATATCTATTAGTAATGTTAAAAAAGGATAACAAATATTATAGCAGAAAAATACTATGTACACAGTTCGTATTAGAATCCTAGTATTAGTAATTTCACTCACGAAAAGCATTCTAGCTCAAAGTACACCAAATATTAATTATTCCATATTAAGGATATTACTGTATCAAAGTAGGTATCGTAAGATCTATTTCTATAAAATAAATCTTTTTATAAGTTTTCTAAGACCAACGCTCTAGGTGGTACAAGTAGAGTGTCACGTAAGAATTTTAACCATATAAAAATAAGTATTTATTATCGAAGGAATGCTGTATAAATGTAATATTTATGTTTATAATTTACTTAAAACAATATTATAAACGGAGTTTAGTGTTCATTTCTAGATTATTGACAGTGAGAAGGAACTTGATAAAATCTCTGGTATTTTTCTATGAAGCAGACATACCTACATTGTAATAACTATAACTCATGAATAAAACTTCACTTACGTTAGATGTTTACTTAAATTATTATTATTACTTAAACTAAATTACTTACATTTACTTAAACGATACTTATTTATAGCTTGTGTTATGTAATTTTAAAGTATCAATACAATAAAAATTAACTTCAATTTAGTTTATTACTTAATCTTAATTTATAAAGGCATTATTTTTTTTTCGATACCCTTACCACGAGTCAGCTGTGTGAAACTAAATACAGAAAGGTTTTTGTTTTTATACAAAAATTTTTGTACATGGCAGGAGTAACAAAGGTGCTTATGCCTTTCAGATCCGTATTTCAAGGGTAGGGTCGAATCATACTAACTACCCTTCCCTATTCTGACAGTATGGCTAGCACAAACATTAATAATACGGAGTTTTACGAGTGAAAACTGCATACTTATCGTATTTAACATGACAAAGTAGACTTGTAGTAAGCCGACTAATAATGAGTTTATGTCGATACTCAATTTATATTAATAAAAAAAATAAGGACAGGATGTACAATCTCTTAAGAAAAACCGTGAAATACAATTTATTAAACTTTAATCTCAATTTGGCGTCACCTAATGGTGTTTCATAAATAATTTATTAGGTTTATAGTGATTGCTGTTTTTTATTGAGACCTACCGAGTCTTTGAAACAAATTTATTGTAACTAAAATAACAGTACTTTTTGTTAACATTTTTTTATGATTTTAAAATATATAGAGTAGAAAGAAAAAATCTTAAACAATTACTCTAAAAAAAATTCTTATTGACGACCTTTTTTATATCAAGTCGGTCACAAAAATTATAAATCATAAAGTTCAGTATGAATAATCACAATTCTGTATTCTGTTGAAAAGTGTGAGTGGTGAATTTATTACGTAAAAGGTCAAGAGTCAAAAAACTGCACGTTGCATATAAAGTTTTACGTCGAAATATTTAAACTTCCGGAATATCGATTAAAGGATATTATGACTAATATCTACTACTATAATGAGAAACATGAAATTTAGTTTAGTGACGTCACTTGTCAAAAGTCAATTATAACATCCTCATTTTTATATACAATAAACACTATTAATTTATTATCAAAGCCACTCTTAAAGATATTTAAAAAGCAATATCAATATATACATACATATATAGTAATAACTTCGAGTCATAATTTTTAAATCTTAACAACATTTCACATTAAAAGGTAAAAATGTCAGCTGTCATTTGAGAAGTGTGTTGTCACTCGTTTTTTTTTTTAAATGGCACTCCCCATGCACACGATGACCGAGTGTCAGATTAAGGCCATTATTATGCAACAGCGGACAGTATTTATTACTTATGTTACTAAAGAAATATTTATGAAGCTGTATAACCTTCAATTTCTCTGATTTTATTACTAAAGATTTTTATATATATATATAATATATATATTATGTTGATCATTTAAAACAAGCATATGATTTGCCCTTAACAACTTTTAGATCGATCGTAACAGTTTACAAGACATAATACATTTAATGTATGTTTATTTTATGTGTTTTATTTCTTTATTCAAGTTTGGGAATAAATTCGGTGTTTTTATCACTAGCTATGATGAAGACTATTAATAGTTTATAAACTTATTAGCATTTACTTTTATCTGATATCTCATCTTTAGGATAAAATAATAATTTTCAAAATATAGCACTAAAATGAATAGAATATATAAATAGAATTGAATTTTGAATAATAAATTAACAGATATAGAATTCCATTTTTAATTTCCATTACGCTAAATGCTGACCACATATAAAAAAAAATATGACACAAAAATCTTTGACAGAAAAAAAACCGTAAATCTCTTCACTATCTTTACATATGTTATATTTAAACTTCTTCTACCTGGCAATTTCCAGATATAGCCAGGGTCTGCCTTACATGTTGTGAATAGTTTTGGCTAATTGTTTTTACGACCGGCCGTTTGCCTGACATCAACACTCTTTTGGGAATCAGCATTATTTAGTGATGTCTAAATATTCTTAGAAAGTACATATGACTCTGAAAAATCACATCTGTACTTGCACAGACCAGGATCGAACCCGCGCCCTCATGCATGAGAGGCGGTCCTTTTTAACCATTAGGCCACTACTGACTTGATATGTAATATTTTTTGTTACTTACATACTAAGTTTATTAATTATATTTAATTGTTATTTCTTTATTATATTTCACAAATATTTTATTTTTATAAAATAAAATTAAAGTAACAAATAAAGTATGGTTGAAATACGTAAATAAGTGTACACAAATCATTATTAGTAATTGCTTCAACTACTCTATTAACCGAACAGCCGAGAAAGGAGATCAGCCTTATCAATCATTCTAAGACACTTAACTAAATTACTTTCAGTCAATGTCGATATAAAATGTATTAATTTTAATAAAAATAATATTTTCCCAAATACTACATATTCCCGACGTTTCGGTTACTTCAATGTAATCCGTAAATATTAGTTCCATTTAAATGAATACTCGCGAAAGTCTTAAATCTCATTAAATATATTAATATTATTTTGTAAGTAATTTTTAAACACTGATTTTTATAATAGTTTCTCTAATTTGTTTTCATTATTATATATGTATTATACTAAATGAACATTTTAATTTTATTTTTATAATATGACATCATTCTCAAAAAATTGCGGAATATTTTGCCAATGTCGACGTTTTTGATTGATGAACGAATTTTGAATACTTTGTGGATGAAACATGGAAGAGTTTAAACTTTCATAAATGAATGGAATAAAGCTTTTCTTTATAAAAATCGAGTCATATTTGGCCAGCTCTAAGTATTTTGGCTCAGTATTTTAATTTCTGAGCAATATATTCTCATTGTCATTGTTTAAACGTTACGTCAATGTCACTCCTAAAACATGAATATTGGTATCATATTTCAAATGTTTAAATATATAATTCTTCATATTCTTCCTAATCTTTAATATAAAATAATTGTTGCTACCTCCATTAAATTTAAAGCATTTATTTTATGGTTAAGTAGAATGATTATTCATTTCAGTTAATAAATTCTAAATATATTTACGTATAGATTAAATAAATCGCGTTGATAATTGGTTTACTTAAACCCTTCGAACTCGTTAGATATCAGAGTTAACATATAAAGCACGTCTGGGCGTGAATTACATTTGCATAAGAATATTGCGACACATATGTAGTATGTATATAATTGTTATGTATTCTATAGTTCTAGCTTTTGGCCTTCGACCTCAATCGAGAAAATGTAACTTATATGTAACAAAATATTTGACGTATAATTTTAAGTTTATTATTATCTGTATAAAGCTAATGTAACCTTTTTTTCAGAAAATACTTTAAGGCGTTCCTTTATAACGAATTTAGTAAAGCTATTTTTATTATCAATGCTTAGACACTCAAAGGAGTATGATTTAAAAAGGTTGTATATCTGTGAACTTGTTTGAACGGTAAAATTCTTGAGTTTTTATTTATATCTCGCGTTATATACACCACGGGTCACGATTCTTATACAAGATGTCGCGTATTAGAATAATAACAACATTTATACACATTCTAATGCAACGTCTATAAAAAATGCAAATACCGAATTCAGTTACATCGCTACCGGGCGACGAACTGGCAGCTTACAAGTTTTTTTTTTATTTAACTACGACCTTATTCAAAATGAATCTGTGGAATATTTTGAAAACCTTTCTTTTTTTTTTCTTGTAACGAGTAATATGGTTTTGAATATACATTTTGGATGAAATATGAAGTAAATTTGTTGATTAATTATCGTTTTTTTAAAGACAGAATATTTTTACCCTCATCCAGAAATCCATATGTGTGGTACATAAAATAAGTAAATAATAATCAAAATTAATTTAAATTTTCGACTGGTCAGGATACTGCGAGCCGTCTTATGACGCTGTCAAACGAAATGTCAAAAATTACAGTAACACAGGAATGCCGTTGACATTTCTATAGATTGAATTTACCAAGAAAAGTTTAAAGCAATTATCTCATTTTTGGTAAATATAGTGATATACATAAATTATGGAAAGCTTGAAGTTGGTGGGAATAAACAAAATGTTCATAAAGATTTTTATATACCATATATATTATGCAATTATAGAAAATATTTTAATTATAAGAAAATAATAATAAATCGCCCGTTTATCTTAAAGATCAGTAATAATATTTAACTATAATAACGTACTTAATGTAAAGTTGCGTCCATTGAATAGATATTGTACGTACATTTACATTTTACAATGTTGCCACTACGAGTAGCTTCGAATAGGGGATATTAAAAATATTATTTTATAAAATACATATTATAAAGTCTTGGTGTTGTTATGTAGCCCGCGAGGGATAAGGTGCGGCTAATATTTATGTAATATTATTTAATGTAACCTGTATATAACATATTGGTACATA